ATATTTATATCCCAAGGCATTAAAGTTTATATTTTACTTTAAATTACTAAAATTTATATTGATCAAAACTTGATCAAAATATACGAAAAAGACAAAAATCTGAGTAAATTACTCAGTAGTGACGTCACGTGGTGTAAAAAATAGCAAGTTGATTGTATTTTGTATTAATTTCACAGATTTCAATTACTGCACGTTGCTTTTTGGTTTTGTTAATTCAACATTGACGTCACCAGCAATAAATATTAATTTTTTGTCAATTAAATCAAAAATTTCAATAAAAATTTAAAACAAATCAATGTAAATATTATTATTTTTCTTCCAATTGACCCCAATTTCCTGATTGACCTTTTCAGAATAATTTTCATTCTAAATTTTGAATATCCAACTGTAATTAATGAAAATTCCGCCCGGATTTAAATTAACATTATGCGCTCCACCCGCGTATGAATATGAATATATATTAATCGAAGCAGAATATCCGAAAATGAAGATTGCATCCCATCCACCATCCCATGCCTCCACCACGCGCATTAATAAATGAATCAAAGCGTATTCATTTAATTGCCGCTTTTATTGACGTCATGCAATCATGGCGCAGCGCAACAGTCGCAATAAAATAGCGAAAGCGATAATCATTTTCACTTAATGCGCTCAATCCATCGAGAATGCCGATAAATATATCATTCAAATGCGTTCATAAAAACCCTAAATACCCATTATACTCGTTTATTCATTTTGCCATTATTAATATTATTATTATTATTATTATTTTATTATTATCACTATGTAACTCCATCAAATATTACTACATATATTTTACGTTATTACATACCAGCAGGATTAAACTAGGCACTAAATGGATTATGTGTTGTGGTATATTGGTTGGTATACGCTGTCACACTGTCAGATACTAATTAAATGTTTAGTAATTAGTGTATAATGCAATAATTAATGCGCCAAGTTGCAGGGATGTGCATGGAATGCGACATGTGGTAACAGACACACATCTACACATACGAGTAGACATAAATTATTGCACCACATATTTATGGTTAATTTTATTATTTTTTACTACCTGTGGCGCGTGTAATATGCTTTTAATGTGAACCTTGTCAAGGATAATCCGTTTTTCTTCGACGTAATCTGAAACGGTGTCTTAAAAGGCTAAGAGTTCCACCAAAGTGGTTGATATCTTGATTTTTGGGTCGTAAATAACCCTCAAAGACAAAAAGTGATTAAGCTTACTTAAGCTACTTCTTAATTTTATATTTTTTTGTAAAAACATTAAAAAAATTTGATTTTTGCAGTTTTTAGTAAAATTTTTAGTTTTTAAGGTTTATAAAAGTCGTAAAAATATAATTACATCGTATTTCAAGTATAAAAACTTATTTATTACTCTAAAAAATAATAAAAAAGTTCCATTAGTAGAAAATAATATAATCTTATATTTTCTCATTCAAAAATATCCTTCCTTTGAATTGAAAACATTAAAATGTATTTTCCTAGAAGAATGCACATAAATAACTCTATTTTTCATGTTTTCGAATGTGTTTCCGAGTTTCCTGCAGTATTTCATTCAAAATAGAAATTTGTGAACTAGTCAAATAACAAATACCGTTGGGTAAATAGCCGAATGCATTTCGCAAGCATAAAACAAACAAAACCACGCTCACACACATTCACACACAACTATACACGCTACGGATCAACAAACGAAAATGTGTGTAAACTGTAACGCAAATGTTGTTGCAACGCGCGAATCACGCAAATGAAATCCTTTTCAATGCACGAAACCAGTTTTGGAACTCTGTACAAAACAGGAGATGAAGCAAACTGAAGCAAAATTCGATGGTAGGGACATACAGCGTCCTCTTTTGCACATTACAAGAAGTAAATATTCACATATTGCCTGATAATGTAAATAATAAATAAAAATACGCAATTATTTTTTTTTTGCGTTTAGGAATAATTTATTGTAACATCCATGTAATAAATGTATATAATATGTTTGTTTATTTCTCTCACCATGACCAACATCCCCTCAACACGAATATTCGCATGACGTGGTGCAAACAACAATTTGTCAAGTTTAATATTAATTAATGCCACACAATTCAGCGTTGGTTACGCTTACGCTGTTAATTAAGTTGACTGGTGCGCGTTTTGTGCGCCGCGCTGAATGAACAGCGAGGCAATGACTGAGTGGCTTTATTAATTAAAACTTTTCAAACATCGTTATTTTAATTGTTTAATGTTTAATAACTTTGCAACAACGCGCTGAAACAACTTTCAATAAAATAACAAAGAATAAGCACTAGAATATAATACATGCACACTTAGAAAACAACCGCGCGAAATGTACCCGAAAAGTAATTTATTTCAAGCGTGAATAAATTACAACTTATACACCCCCGACTGAATTTTCGCCAATTTCACCGACAGACCGAGGATAATAGCAATTTGAGCTCAAGGTAAAAGTTTAAACGCGACGCGAATTACATATTACACACATTTACATCGCACGTGTAGTTGATTAAGCGAACCAACTTACAACCCTGGATAGTGTTCCTGTCCCGCACGGTTAACCAACTTTATCGGCGCGCTCGGTTTGCTGAATAATGTTGCGAGTTAACCAATCTCACTCAACTCAAACACAATGGTTAAATGTGTAGATGCTACATGAATTATGTTCAGGGATGATTATGTAGAGCTGAACATGTGTAGGGAAGTTGAGCGGTTGACAAGTGACACTATTGGCGACCGCAAGGAATAACGACGGTGGTCTAACCACAAAACATTCAATCTATTGTCATTCTGGTATCGAACGGTAACAAATTGGAAAACAAATTGGATACTAGTGTACTTAACCGCAGACATAAGTGTTTAGCTTAATGTGAACAACAAAGTGTTATTTTTTTGGTTTCTTTAGGTTTTTGGGGAAAAATTTGGAAAAGATCCTAAAAAAATCAGAAAAATATGAAAAATTCAAATTTTAAGAATGTATTTGATATTTTAAAGTTCTAGAGTGGTATAACTATCCATGAAATGTAAAATTTATACAAAAAAAGATTAAAAAATTAACTTTTTTAAATTTCCATGCAATTTGCCCAAAAATTTCTCCAAAAAAATTAACAAAAACTACCAAAAAATCAAAAAAAAAATTGAAAAAAATATCAAAAACTGAAATTTAAAGAAAACCGTTTCAAAAACATGATTCTTATGCAAAAACAATCAAATAATTGACTTATTAGCATTTTTCAAGCAATTTTTCTGTGCAAAAATGAAAAAATTAACAAAAATGACTAAAAACCAAGTTTTTCCTTCCCAAATAAAACTTTTTTACCCTTGTAAAATGTCCTCCTTTGTATAACAACGCAACAGACACAAACATATATTGTTTTAGCGACATTTCCATTCTGTTTTGTCTCGAAGCGCTCCAACTAACCCGTAAAAGACATAATAAATGTTATTTAGTTAAGTAGCAGGCAGCCTAAATTACAAAAGCAATAAATCACCCACCGACTTTCGCAGGAACGCTTGTAAACAAGACAATATTGAAGCGCACACCGAGACACACACCGTGCGGCACACGTTAGCAATGTGATTTATAAAACAGCTGCTTATTTTCGAAGCCCAAAGCGGAAACGTTTATCGACGGGCGGAACACACGCGACTACTGACCATTCAATTTTAATATATTAACAATATGTCAACGTAGAAATAACTTCTCGTAATTTTAATTAAATATAATACGTTGAAAATTTACTATGCAGAAATAAACTAAGGGTTATTATGTTTTACATTTTACAATGAACATGTTCGTGTTCATTGCACGCGATAAAAATAAACACGCGACACGTATAATAGTCTAGTCGTAGTTAATTAACGTTTCTTTGCCCTGTGCTGATACCAAAGAGGAATGCCACAATAATAGCCGAGTTATCGATGAATATTTCAAGCATCCGATAAACAAACAGTCGTGTAATAATGCATTTTGTTTTTCTGTTTCATTTTTTATTAATTTTACTTATTTCACGCTCGATTTATGAAAATTGCATCCAAAAACGTCATATAAATATAATATAAACTCATGCAATGTTATTTGATAACAGATAATCAACTTTTTGTGCGATACACGAGAAGAGTATATAGTGTTTCCTATCGGCGATAACAATGTGCGTTTTCTGTGAGTCACTTAATCAACAATCCGATACAAATGCAATGGAAATATTTTTTGGTAACTAGATGAATGTCATACAGAGTGATCACAATTATTACCAGTTTATTTCATCCTATTCGTTAGCGTTACTTGACGCTCGTGTTCAAATGTTTAATTAAGCAGCGCTAAACAATCAATTGAGGCGATTAATGCAATCATCGCGCAGTGCGCGCGGCGTTCATTCGCAAAGAACGCGACAATAAATTGACGCGTCGATAACACTCCTTCAATCGATTTAATAACACTGAGTGTCGCCATAAAAATTAATAATTCTTTTATTGTGATAATATAAAATTAAATACATCTATTACTGATTGCATCACCCTGTATAATTTCTATTTATGTAGAAACATAAACAAACATCTGGTCCAATAAACTCGACTGGTCGTGTTCGTATAATTCATTTCTTTCTTTCAATGTAATTTCTGTGGTGTGTCATCGATTGTATTGTTTTTTTTTGTTTGTAACAAGTTATAAACAAGTTATAAACAATAGACGTATCGCGGTTCTAGTTACAATTTATCACGCTGGGTTTTTTGGCCTTTATTGTAATGTTAATTTCTTTTAAACGCATTCAATAGAGTTTTACCCTATAAATCCCTTGCATTCGTGCTGCAGGGCACAAAAAAGAAAAAAAAAGAGGGCAACCCTTATAATTGGATTTAACAGCAAGGGCTTTATGCTGACAGCGCACTCGTTGGATTAAAAACATTGAAAATGCGATAAAAATAGTTTTTATTTTACTATTTTTGTATTATTTTTATTTGCGTGAATGACTCACCGACATCACAATCCCCTTTGCTCCCCTTTGCATGCGTCTGTTTGGGCTGCACGTGTTTCTCAGGCAGGAGTTTGTCGTACGCGTGATCGTCGCCGTCTGTTTCGGCGACGGCGGCATGTTTACCGCCCCCGTCCGGTCCCCGAAAGAACTCACCGCGCACATCAGACTTGGTCACTTTGAATCTGTCCGGCATCTTTTTACATAAATATTTTCAAGTCACAAATCACAAAACACACAAATTGGCACTGAATTTCTTACATTTTTATTCGTGTTTAAATTTAACCATAAATTTCGTTTTGTTTTTATTATTTTTATTTTGTTACGTTATCGGTGTCGTTCAACTCGTCGACTTGGATGAATATTGTGCATTTTAATGAATTGCACGGATTGTCCAGTTTGTGCAATGTGAAGTGTTCGTTCGGTTTGTTGCACTGTGCACTCTGCACTGCACTTGAAAGACGCTCCACCGCGTTCGCTGCGAGTTTCGAACACTCGTAAACAGAGGCAACGCGCACACACCGCACGCGATCGCCGGCGTTTTTAAAAAACACTCGGCATAGACGAAGTTTTCAGGCGTCGACGCGTCGTCCGCGAGTGGTGAGGGACGTTAACACTGTTAGCACCATCTGATCGCCGACGCGCTAAACACTGATAATGATAACGACTGCGTCGAGACGCCCACGCACAGAATACTCTTAATTTGTCAACCATGTTTTACGTTTGTATGTTTTTTGTGATGTATTTATTTATGTTGTGATGATATATTTAATTTTAATTTATTAATTTATTAGCAAGCTGTGCATGCCTGCAGCGTTCAAGTTCAAGTGACGCCGGCACGTGTTCGCGCTGGCGTTTTGAGGGTTTCGGCACGATGGCGACGGGACAATGGCAGGCAGCGTCGCGACGCTCGCATGCACGAACGCTCACCCCGCTTGCTTCGACGTCCGATGTTAATAATGTTGATTTACGCTTTACCAGTTTTATGTTCAATCATAGTTGATATTTATAGAATTTTTACTTCATTGAAATCCACAGTTTTCATTATAACTTAAGCCTAATCAATAATATGTATTAAATTATTGATTTTGTCGCTTAATTAGAAGATATGGTAATCCAATCAAGTTGCGAAATGCAATCTGTGATGTAGAGGGATATGTGAAGCAGAGGACATGAAGTCCTGTTCGTACTCGTATGTTAGACATTCAAGAGGCAATCAACGTAATAATAGAGCAGGTCGGGTTTGCACACGTCAATAGGATCGTTAATTATCGGGCGTCCATGGATAGTTGGTGGAGTTTGCTGAATTTCGATTGCATTCTGATGCGCATAAATTTACTATGTGTGTGAATTTCTATGTAAAACTGGTTCGTTTATCTTTAGTTTGATATTGAATGTAAACTTGTAGGTAAACATTCAACAACGTGAGAACCAAAGCAACAAGGGTCTCAGTGTATACATCTTTTTGATAAATTTATTTGAAGTAGAACTACTATGGCCATCTATAAGTAGTTTCTGAACTAAAACTTAATGTTATTAATATTTTATTGTATTAAAAAGCAAAAAATATTTAAAATTAATTAAAAATGACTAGTTTATAATATTTATACTACTTTTTAATTTTTTTCTTAAATTTTAGTAAAAAGCATTTAAAAAAGTGGAAAATAGCAGAAATTGTTAAGATTCCTATATTACTTTGTATTTTTTATTAAAAAGAAAATGTTATTGTTATTTATCAAAAATAATCTAATTTTCTATCATTATTAGACTATTGCAATAAAATGTCTCAATTCCATACTACTGTAGCCCTCTATGATCACTTTTATCAACTAGATTATAATTCAAACTTTTTCTGGAGTTTAAATGCAACAAAATGATTAAGCAACTGCAAAATTAGTTATTTATATAGTTTATCAAAAAGTAATAAAATTTTCCTATAAATTTAAAATGTAAGCTAAATTTACCTCTCAAATCGCAGTAAATTCATGTAACATGATTTTTTCTATCAAAGAAATCAATATAAAAAAACTAAATAAGTTGAAAGCTTTTAAATCTCTTTAAATACCGCAGAATTTTCACCTTCACCTGCCCTGAACCTAAACTTATTACAAGGGCACCTGAATATTACATAATCCGCATTCTATGTACATATACCAAACATCTAAGTGCTTATGCGCATGTAGTTGTAACTATAGTTGTGCTTTAAAGTATGGCACTACATCACATTATTTAATTTGCATTACGTCATGCTCATCATTTGTCAGTAGTAAGAAGCAATAAATTGTCCAGTACACTTTAGATTGCATGTTGCGACAGTGGCACTTGCGCATCGCTCACGTCTAACCTTAAAAACTCGACCAAAACATCAAAAACAACGGTGTTGGACGCATCAAATTAGTTATGGCATTAGTTATCTGTGTGACGACGAGCTGATGTACACAAACCACCCACGATACCAACGAAATATGTTTCTACGTGCGTAACTGAGTGCGTTAATCCCGGAACGCATCAAAATTTCGTCTAATAATAGCCGTCGACTGCAGATATTCAACTTGGTATGTATATATAACAGTAAGACATTTGTTGAATTTTCTTGTGAAAACAAATTATCACATTGTGATATCATGATTAAAGACATCATTCAACTGCTATGTCAAGTCATCATTCATTACCAGCACCAATAACCCCCAGATCGCGATCGAATTCAAGGCTTTAACGATTTTAATTTACGTGGACGCGTTGTTCAAGTGTATTACGTGTATCTAACTGTTTTTATTTAAGTTTTGCCTTGACGCTTCTAAATTACGTGTTTGCAGTTTCATGGCGTATTTACGATTAATAAAAACTATTTATCATTGAAAAGGAATAATACTTAACGCCACGGTTAGTCGCGTTTAAACTTTCGGCCGCGCTGTGTTGAATAAATCATAAATGGCGCAGTGGTTCCGATAACACTTAAAAATCGATACGTTGATAACAGTATAATGTGTTTGTGAAAGTTATTGTACAATTCGGCGAGTTTACTCAATCATTAACCAAGCGGCGACGAATTGCAGCGGTTCGAACAAGTCACGTTGATACTTACATATTGTGCACACTTATTGAGTATGAATCTGATAAGAGATAGATGTTATCGATGATGATTATGCAGTTCTACTAAAGTACAAATTTTCTATAACTACCATTTTGTTTTCAGCAGTAACGTCGACTCAATGTATTCGTAACAGGGAAAAAGTAAGAAAATTTTAAAAAGGTGCGAATACTTATATCTTGAAGACAAATACAAAGATGAATTCCAAAGCTGCACTTGCAATCGCCTTAGTTTATATCGGATGTGGATTAAACAATGTTTTTCTGGAGTATTTAGTGAGGTAAGACCTTTTCGTTTTGAGAAAACAGTTGAAATAATCCGTAACAAAAATATTGCACTATGGGTAATTGTGTTGCATTATGGGTAACCGCATATGCAACCTAATATGCATTAAATTCAAATATTGGTTATTTTCTTGATTTTTTACTAATTCTCTATTTTATTCCAACAGGGAAGATCCAGGCTGTGGAAATTTAATAACATTCTGCCAGTTTCTTTTTATTGCCGTATATGGATTTGTCACAACGCATAGATTCGGCACAGTTAAGCCGAAAATCCACATGACTGCATACTTCCAACTCGTTTGTTTCTTCTTTATCACCAGCATATTTAACAACTGGGCATTCAGCTTTAATATCCCTGTGCCTCTACACATGATATTCCGAGCTGTAAGTATACTATAATTTAAATTATAACATATAAGGTTTGTTTCCATTAAATTTTTAATGCTCAAATGAAAGCCGTGAATGGAAAGCCTAGATTATGACATTCTCGAGCATTGCGTAAACAAAACTATAAAATGCAATGCGTAGAAGTGCATTAAAATAAAACCGCAAGGATATAAGCTAGATAAAATGCTTTTAACAGTTGCCGCTGTTAAAGGCCAAACGCAAAACGCATAAAATGTTATTACAACTTTAATCGAAGCACTAGTTTTAGTTGAAAACATAAAATAAACTTTTATTATGCTTGACCATTATTTTTAGGGATCTCTCATCGCGAATATGATAATGGGAATCTGGATCCTCAAGAAAAAGTATGCTTTCTCCAAGTTTGTCTCTGTAGGAATGATAACAGCTGGAATTATTATCTGTACATTCATTTCTGGAAATCAAAAAGTAGCCTGTACGAATTGTGATGGAGACAAGCCATTATCAGACAAAAACGATGACAATGCAGCTGATAACGTTGATTTTCTTTGGTGGTTGGTTGGAATTGTTATTCTCACCACAGCATTGTTATTATCGGCACGCATGGGCATCTTCCAAGAAACTTTGTACAAAGAACATGGAAAACATCCTGACGAAGCGTTATACTACACTGTAAGCATAAAACATAACCTAACTTATCTTTAAATTTATGTTTTACTTATTTTATCTTTATGTTTGCAGCATTTACTCTCATTACCTCTGTTTGTAATTTACGGCTCGAGTATTATTGAACATTATGATGTCATGATGAACAGTGAATCGACGAGTCTGCCATTTGGAAACGTAGCTCTGCCATTATTAGTCCTCTACATGATTGGCAACGTTTTTACACAATATTTGTGTATCTCTTCAGTTTATGTCTTGACAACTGAATGTACATCACTTACAGTCACTTTAGTAGTAACCCTGCGGAAGTTCCTTTCGTTGATCTTCTCAATTGTTTACTTTAAAAACCCGTTTACGCTGGGACATTGGTTTGGAACAGGTTTAGTGTTTGTGGGGACAATGATATTTACAGAACTTGTTAAGTTTCCATCCAATACAGTCGCACAGAAAGATAAAGTAAAAAAGAACTAGTAGTGTTATTAAAAGTGATTTTTTATAAAATATTATGTACGTATGAGTTATGACTTGTTATGATTGATGAGATTATTGGAATGTGATTGTCGGGGCATTTATTAATACTGAAAGAATAGATTTAGTGTTAGTTGATCAGAATTTAATTTAATATCTTGTTGAAACTTTCAAGTAACTTGTTATGCTCATATAATAGCCGGATTTTAACTGTACATAACGTAAATCCATTGATAACGTAACATAATTAGTAGTTTTTATCTTGCCGACGCCATTTTCACACAAACTATGACTTTTGTGTCCCTAGTTTGATAGAAAACTAGTCATGTGAGTTTAAACAATGTTAATAAATATTCCTGGTCGCATACATTTATAAATTTGATATAATTAGCCTTATTTCTTAGATTAAATAAGTTTTAATTGGTTTTAATCTTATAAGTCTTCAGCTGATATATTCACATGTGAACATAACCATCAATTCTTAACTTGATCGGCTTGGAAGCTACCAAAGTAACGTTTAACTGCACAAAACGTTCCGATAACGAGATAAATAAGTAATAAATAATAAAATACAAGTGAATGCAACCCAAATTGAGCAACGGATGTGATTTACCGGTCGATATCACTCGAAACAAAACAAAATGACTGCGTACAGTCATTGAAACATGCAGTAATGCATTGGAATGTACAAAACGTACAAATTAGGACCAAAATCAATTGTTTTAGGGTGGTATTTGTATTTAAACGACTATGTGAAGACGTCCTTGATATTTTGGAACTGCCGCACGGCTAAATCGACTGGTAGGTCGAAACTGAACCTCGTCAATGTGTCCAGGCTCTGTAGGCCGTCCTGGAATCCTGAAAATAGGTGTTAATATCATTTAAAGGTTAAAAGAGGAGTATAATGTCACGATAATGTTAATGTTAGATCAAAAAGTAGGAAGAAGCAAAATGGTGACTTGAAATTCACGTCTTTCAATAGAATTGAGCACTGTGTGCTGCGCGCTGTTATTTTATACCTTTGACTATCCGCGAAAAGTGGTGGGGGTAAGCGCATTCCACCACTACTTTTTGCAGGTATAAAAGGTCAGCAAAGTCCCGTCAGAGTCCAGGTTCCTCTTTCTTTGACCCGAGTGTTAGATAAATACTGAAATGTTACCTGTTTTCATTACATAGCTCCACGGCAGGTAATACATGTTTATCAACTGCTTGCATTGGAAAATTAGGCTCAGCCATGTCACCAATTTGTTCGCACTGCGAAAAACAATTAAATTATATACAAAACATAACTCATTACTCAAAAAATCACGATATTGTCAAATAAAAGTCACTCAAAAACGTCACCACCTCCAAACAAGTATAAATTCATACATAACCTAACATATACTCTACTTACTTGAGTGCAGCACAAACAAACGCCTTGAAATGCGCATCATAACTCCTCTTGTACCTCGCATGCGTCGAAATAATACTCCCAATGGCCCCCAACATGCTCTGCTTGCTACTATTCACCGAAGAACCAGCAATATCCAGATTAAAACTCTGCGAAAGTTTACGCGCTGGCGTCGCATTGAACCCTTCGCCATTCTTCAACGAGTAATACTCGAGAATCAACTCCCAGACGTGCACACAAGCATCTCCATCCGAATGCCTCCGAGAGAAGCATCCAATGAACGGAACAACACTGTGACTTTGACTTGGAGAATAAGTGCCATGTTGCACCAGGTCTCTTATACTCGGCGCGAGTAACTTTCGAACTGCGGTTGTAATCTGCACATTACACAAAACCGTCGGCGATTCTGAATCACTACTGTAGTCTCCTTCATAAGCCAAAGGAGTTGTTTCAACAGCAATCATCATGTCACGCACACGAGCAATAGCTACTTCCAAACGTGCACGTAGATCACTAAAACAGGTTATGTTTAAATTTAAGGTTAAAACTGTCAACATTTAATATTTAGAGGTTATGTTGTAATAACTTACCCAAAATGATTAACTTTCATTGTGGTTTTCAGATTATTCTTCTTAAATCGTGGCTGCGTGCCTCGCAGTTGTAAAATCGCAAACATTTGTAACAATTCCGCTGTTCTCTGTACGATTCCCAGCGTATCTTCTTTGCATTTATTCTTTCCGACTGAGTGTAAAGCACAGCCGCATGCGCATTTCGCATTCTTTGAATCTACTTGTAAATATCCGATAAATCTCTCTAAATCAGCAACTTGTGTCTTTAACTGTGCAACTAAATGTTCTTTCATTTTTAATGGGCTGACAAATTGTCCGAGTGCTTGATCAACCTGTGCTTTTACGGCATCCGGTGTCAATTGATGATATTGATCTTCATCCAGTTCTAAATTCATGCGGTCTTTTAATTCATTGAGGATTACTCTTTGACGTTCAAGAATGACATTTTGTGGGACTCCAGCATGTCCACTTTCGAATGCGTATTGTTCCAGTTCATGTAGTTGATCTTTTAGTTTGTTGATCAGTTCGATTTGTTGAGTACATCGCATGCTTACAGCTTCGCTTAGGGATGTGTCACCTAAAGAAATGTTTTCTCTGACTGATGCGATGTCTGGTATGCCGCGGAAAGCGAATTCTTCGAGGTTCTTGAGAAGGTCTTCTTTGTCGTCGGCGTTTGCTTCGACGATTTGTCGCAGGCGGAATTGGACTTGGGCGAAATGTGTTGTGAGTGCGAATAGGGAAGAGCTTAACATGTCTTGTTCTTCTTCCAGGTGTTTATATTTTTCAATATGGATGCTAAAACATTAAAAAATTGATTTTAACATTAATTATTTAACATTTTATTGGAAAATATGTGTAATTAAATTGTTACCAATGTTTATTTAGTGTAAAATATGATTTTTCTTTTGTTGGAAGATAATAAAACTTGTTTTGTTAAAGATTTATAGAAAACTGAGCAAAATTTCGGAATATCTACGTTTTAAATAGTGGAATATGTTGAAATTTAAGTGTTTTTTTGACATATTGTTAAAAATAACTACCAATCCGATGTGTTTTAATAATTTTTGCTTAAAAACTATTCATTTATTCAAATTTATTTGCACAATGCTCTTGAACAAGACGTTGAAGGTTAAAAATGTATTGATAACATTTTAAATCATTGCAAATTGTTTAATAATTAATTGTTGTTTGAAAAACATCTTTATATTGCCTCTTTGATTGTTAATTTTATGTTTTTTTCATGAATCATTTGTGCGGCCATCTTTTTTACGGAATAAGTCAATAAATAGTTGAATTTCTTCTTAATTGGCTCGCAAATTAAGTTAAACGGCAAATAAACTAATTGAACAGTTACAAAACTTTCCAATTAAACAACTTTTGGATCGGTGACATTGCAATTAGCGATTTATAACTTAATTTGCCTGAAATTGACTCTAACCTAAATAAATTTAATAAATTTATCAATAATAACACTAAAAATAATTTTTTAACCTATATAAAGTAAATAAATAAGTATTAAATCACTAAGTTCATCTAAATTTTCAAATTTTACTGCGTAAATTCCAAAATATTAATCACTTTCATTTAATTTACACTGATTCTATATAATAAGACATCAATGTTAACCTAACTGTGTTTATCGGCAACCCAAATAACATATTCAAGTCTCTGCCACAATTTAAACATACAAAAAGTAAATAAATAAGTAAAATGTCATTAAACTCATTTATAATATCAAAATTTATATCTTCAACTGCTAAATATCTTTAAAATTTATATAATTTATACTATGTTAATACAATTTGACATCTGCGTTAACATAACCACATTTATCTGCAATCCAACTAACATATTCCTCTTTTCCTCAGAATTTCCCCATTGCACTTTAGCTACAGCGTGTTTCTACACCAATACTTCTACAAATTGCAAGATTTCACTTACCAATGATGATCGGTACACTCGTTATCATATCGCCGCGTCGAATGCTGCGCCTCGGCGTCCTCCCGCTGCTCATTGTCGTCATTCGGCGCCCCGAGTGGATCCCACCGCTTTCCAGCTGGATGCTCATCCATCCCAAACTCCCCATAATTATTATCGTTATTATACTCGCTAATCATATTAATTTACTGATATGTATCAAATTATAACACTTTCACTTGTTTTTTCAATTTAAATTTTGTTTTTCCACTCGCGCTGTTTTCGTATGTTTGTATCGTCTATATCACGGCTGATAACTGTGTACACAGTGTGTGTATAATAAGTATACAACAAGATAAATCCTTTTCGGGTTTCAATTTGCACACACGTTGATTACAAGTGGAGAATTGCAGCGTTGCGTCGAGAAATACACATTGCACGTACGTTTTTATGTTGTAAGTTGATTGTGGGTTAAATTAAAGTGGAAATAAAGTGTGCAGCTTGCAGGTGTTTTATTTTTGATGTTTTTTTGGGGGGAAAAGAAATTCGCTCACGTCCTGCAGTCCTGCCTGCTCGCGCAGCACTGACGTTTCGCGTGCGGGAGCCGCGGCAGCGATCGGTAAGCGGTGAACGTGTGGGTGGCAGCGCACGCAAACGACAGAGAGACCTGCCGCCTCCACCGCCACCAACTAATCGCGTATAATGCACATGCGTAGGATGTTATTTGCTTCCAGTGCCTATGGGTGCATATTGTTTGAAAATTTACTAGTGCTGCCATCTATGTTAGATATTTATTGAAATTTACACGAAAATTTGTAAAAAATGAATTGATTTGACATTTTAGTTAACAAATATAACAGATAAAAGTATAATTTATTGTTTTCAATTATTTTAAAACAAATTTTAATTAAAATTGTGTAAAAATTTAGTAAATTCGAAAATTTAATCATTTGAGGTTATGTTTAACTCGTTGAAATAAATTATTTACTGCTTAGACATTAAAACGTGATGTTTTGCTCATTAAAAGTAATAATTACATAATTTCCGTACACATTAATAAATATTTTGTCATTATTTATGTTTGATGTCATAAACAATTGAATTGAACACTACCGGAAGACAATATCACAAATTGCATGTCTTACATAACAATATTTTACACTTGTCATAACTATTATTACCTAAACAATATATTTTCCGTAGTTATCTTCCTATTTCGTGACAAAATCAAACTTTTTAAATTTTTATTTTTTTTGTAAAACTTGTAGAAAGTCTTGACAGTATTGTTGAAGTTGGCGAAACAATCGCATGATATATACAGGCCAGTAAAACAATTCTGATAGTACGCTACGAGCTACTATGATTGTGATTGTGAGTGTAAATTCTTATCAGCGATTCTGATTGTGTGTCAGTGGTGATTTTTTCACTTCCTACGCTCGGTTTGTTAGTCATACCGTGTGTTATCACGGCTTTCGGTGAGTTTTTCGTTTTGTTTTTAATTTGAACATGCATGCGGTGTTAAAAATGAAAAATCGGACTATTAAGGCGGCTAGGAGGTAATAAAAACAATATTGGTCTGATTCATCAATTGTTTCAATTAATAATAAGGTGTAAAAAATAATTAAAAGAATTTTATGCGCTTGGAAGAGTTTTAATCATGTTTTAATATAATTAGTAGCATAAAACATAGGTTATAAACTAAATTAAAGTGACATAACCAAATTGAGTCAATTTTAGCCTCAAAATTTGAATAAATATTAATTATTTATTATTATTTTGCCCATTGGGGTATAAAAATGTATTTAACTTGCATTCTTACTTAAAAAGTTTGGTAAAAAGTAAGATAAACAATGATTTTATGTGATTACAAGCATAAAACATAAGTTATTCTTAAAATAAACGTGACATAACCGTAATTAACCTATTTTAACCTCAAAACAATTCCATAATCACAAAAAATACTCTCAATGCCAAATAACTTTAAAAATAAACAAAACTTAAAAAAACATTAATTTTTCATAATTATTCTGCCCTTAAATATATTAAAATATGTTTAACTTGTATTTTAACTTCTACATTATAGTAAAAAGTAGGTTAACGCATATATTAAAATGTAAAATTGTGTACAATCAACGTTTAACGCGTTTCTGAACAGTTCAAGTAAGTAATTTACGATTATCAGCGTTTTCGCTATGCACGCACGAATCTACATTATGCACACATAAATAAATCGTGAACATTTGTGAACGTGAACGTCTCCGCGCTATCTTTTCCATTATTTATGTACATCCACCCGTTTAAAATGGAAGTCCACGATGTTTAAGTACTTATTCTGCAAGAAATGCATGAATTGTATGCGCTTTTATAATTATGCTAAGCAATCGTGCGGTGAGTGCAATTTGCATAGATGTGCAGAATTTATTAAAGAAATTAATTCAATTAGTTAGAGTTTTATTGGTTTATAGAAAATGCCTTTCACAACTTTCAAAATGGTAAAAAATGTGTTAAAAAGCAAAAATTGACAATTTTGTTGTGTTGTGAGGTTAAAATTTTGAGGTTTTAGGTTATTTATAGTTAGTTTGGTTAATTTTTGATGGAAATTACGGTTTTTCATCAAGATTTTAAGGTTATTTAGGTGTTTTCTCATATTTTGAAGTGAAATTAACTTAAATTTAGTTATTTTTTAAAATTTCATGTTTAAAAAGTTAAAAGAATACAAATTACCTAAAAACACCCCGAAAATGTCACTGACAAGTTTGGTTATGTTGTCACGTAATATTTGTTCCTATATTTCACTATAAATATTAATTTTACCCTAAAATATGCACATAAAATGCCATTTTTATAACAATTCATAAGTCTGACGTAAATTATTAACAAAAATAACCATAATACACGATTTAAACATGAAATGCATTAATTTATGTGATGTTTATTAGTCCAGTTAATCTAGATCCAAGTAATTATGTTCCTTTACACTTTTTATTTGTTTGGATTTAATTTTGAGGTTTCTACTGCAAAGTGTACAGAAACACGTACGATATTATTTATTATAGGTTGTGCGTGTGTCTATATATGAACAAACATGACTCTTGGCGCATTTACCAACCAGAAGAAGACTCACATTCCAAGTTGTAAATTACTTAACGCTTTCACGACATGCTTTAGTGCATTTCTGCTTCCGTACACTTTCCTGATGCTTATATTTTTGTTGTTAGTATTAAATTAATCGTAAAATACTGTTTTATTAAATGTTTGGTTATGTTTAAGTATCAAAAGAGTTGGTTAGATTGATTATTAGTTATTTGTGGGTTATTTCTTAATATTAGTTTTAAATTTTGATTTGTTTTATAATAAGTAATAAAACCAAACAAATAAACCTAGTTTTATGTGTGGTTTATTATTATAAACAAAATAAGTAATCAAAATCACGTAATAATGTATAATTTAAAGCAATTTAAACGAAAACAACAACTTTCTAATCTTCAATTGACAAAATGTCACTCTTTTAACTTACTGTGAAGAAATAATTGTTTACGCTTTGCTAAACATCGCCAAATTGAATTATAATTCTATAATAATCTATCATTTGTTTAAATTTTTAACAATTTAGTAGTAATACACCATATTAGTTGTATTTTCTGTTCAAAATCAACTTATTTGGTAAATAATACATTGATGTCACATAAGTGTAAAGTTGGTTGCCTAACATAAACATCGAAATACTAAGTACATACTTGTATAATAATCAAAATCAACAAAATATCAATATTATTAATATTAAAGTGTATAATAATTAAAATAAGATGTTTCAGTTTGTTTTACAAGGTGTTTTCTCTAATTTAAAATGAATTTACTCAAACAAAAAGGCCTTTCTCTAATATTTTCTAATTAAAAACTTACCGCTCTATCAATTAACGATCAAGCAATTAACTAATCAACATGCCTGCAATTTGTAGTTTGCACTTGACGATTTACCTTCATAAACTATCCATAATGTGGCTTCTGTAGTTCAACGCCTTCAATTATTATTTATTATTGCGCTGTTAACTACAACGCACGCGCACGAAGCTGCAACAAACACATCAAAATATTTATTAATTTATTAACGCTATAAAGATTTATTACCTAGTTGTGCAACAAAAGGCACAAGCACGAGGAGTCAGTCGATGTTCTAGCTGTAGTTATTGCAGTTGTTCAGTTTTCACATCGTTGTTGCGTTTGTTGCGAGTCCTTCGCACCGCCTCCTGTCAACTGACATCTCCTGTCAGTGCTTCGTTCTCGGTGCGTTTCATGTGCGTCCGCGTTTATTATCATCCCGTCCTAACAAAAGATGCGTCGCACACACGAGGCACACGAATAGAGTCGCAATCATCCAATCGCGAAGAAAATGTGCGTCGGAAGCCGCGTGCTGCATGCTGTGCCTCGAAGTAATCGTCGTTCGTGCAGCGCGCGCCCGTTTCGGAAATGGCTGAGCATGCAGGCGGCCAGACGGGCCGGGGGCGGCACTTCGACAGCCCCATGTTCCGCGAAATACACAAAACACCTGGCTCAAGAAGATAAACAAGGGATGTGGCGATTCTAAACGCGTAAGTATTCATAAACTCGAAAAATCCCATCAAAATGAACAGAACCTAAAAATTTCCGCATATGTCAAAAATATTGGTCTAGGACACATGTTTTTGTTTAGTTTTTATGAATAATTCGAAAACTATACATACTAGAGTAAAAATTCTTTCAGGAGCTAATAGATTATTAAAGTACGCATCTAAATATATGAAACACATAATTGAATCTTCTTTAATTAATTGATTATAAGCATAAAAAGAGTAATTTTCAAAAAAATTATTTTAACACCCTATAACTTTTTATACAATAAGGCGATCTTTTTAATATTTACACATCGCATACAGAATTTAATCCTGAACACAATACAATTCGAATTAATCTCCTATCTCTATTCATTAGTCCACAATTTACTAAAAACTATATTTTTCATTCCAGGCAAAGAAGGAACACGTCTGGGTAGTGTTCTGTGTGCACGATGACACTGAAGCTTATCTAGAAACATATTTCGATAATAAGTCCGCTGTTCTACACAAACCGCTATGGTATACAAGTTTAAACGATGCGCAGCACGTGTCGCCCACAATCTGCGCCCAGGACCAAGACTATGAATTTGTGATAACGTTGTCTAGTGAAGTCGTTAGATTAGCAGCGCCATCATGGGAAGCCATGTTGGACTGGGTCGAAAGTTTACGCATAAAACTAGAAGAGCTAAAGATTCTAACGCCTAAAGAAAATCTATACAGTAAACCGCCTGAATCGAAAGCTACACCTTTATTACCCACTCGGGATCCTACATCACCTCTTCCGCCGCCTCCAGAGGTTCCACCAGCGTTCCTACCTGGTGTGGAACCTGTTTCATCCAATCACAATGTGATAATAGCAAGGTAACTATGATTTTTTAGTATTTTCTGATGTTTTTTGCTAAAATTTTACTTATTTTGTGGTTATGTTTGTTCTAGAAGAGATATTTTGCATAGAACCACATCAAACTCGTCCAACTCTTCAAGTTCTCGCTCTCCGAACATAATGACAAGTGATTCCGTCTCCTCTGCGACTTCTGCGGAAGAAAACAATGAAAATGTCGTCGCGAATGTGTTTAATTTCGAGAATCTCTCAGCGGAGTTACTCGCTGAACAGCATCACAATTTAGCGCAGTCTGTTGCTGTGGCTGCCGGTGTCGATAATGTCAATCGCTATGAGCAAATTTTTCAACTCTCGCAATCTCCAGGTCCGTCCAATCTGCAATATATTACACAGACGCAATCGCAGTCACAAAGTGGCCGCGCGCGACACATTAATCAACAGATTCAGCAGCTACAAAACGGCCAACCGCCGGAACCGTATCTCACACTCAGGGAGCATCAGGTCATGCAGCTGCAGAAGGAAATTGAACATCCGGGGGGCGTTCGATTGAGGTTACGCAAGAAGGATTGCACGAATTGTATCGCATTCGTTGATGCTTTCAATTCTGTTTGGTAAGCATCGAAAATTTTTCTTAATTTGGAGTAATATTTGATGTTTTATTAGTTTTTAGTGATTTCTAATGATTTGTTTTTATTTTCAAGGGTTTGTGGTTTAAAATTGAAAGAAAACCCAATGTTATACAACGTGTTACACATTGGTGATCAATTATTAACCATTGAAGGCTGCAAAACGCGTTCCACAGCTGATGTTCAAAAAATTCTACGTGCTTCACAAAACCTCCACGTTCAGATAGTTGTGAATCGCGTGCCGCGCGGACAAGTTTTCGTTATCCACCGCGATGTTGAAGGCCAGCCACTCGGGATACTTCAAGAGGGCAGCACTGCTGTTATCGCTGACGTCGTGAAAGATGGTCTTGCCGCACGACATGGTTTAACGCCCCGCGCACCAGCTTGTGAGGGAGCGCCCGATGCTACTACTAACTGGGTGCTCACCGAAATCAATGGCCGCCCGCTGAATCTGTTTTATAAGGACAACCAAGTGAAGGATCGACTCAACGCCGTCGGTCGTGATATTTCGATTCTAGTTCAACCGTTAGATTTAGTCAAGCAGATCAAGAAGCAGCTGAAGACGCTGAAGAACTATAAAGACTATTTGTTGCATTGACACATTTTCTTCCATGAAGGAATCTAGTTCAGATGCGTGCTCTGAATCATCACAGTTAATTTTTGTGGAATGCTCATTTGCTTGATTGAAGCAATTTAAAAATGGCGACGTCATATCATTCCAGTACAAAGAAAACGACATTTCGGTGTTATTTTTATAAAAATTCATGTTTGTGAACGTGATTCGTATACACCCACATACTCGAATATGAGTAGAGAAGAGATAGATTTCATTTAGACCTTTTTATAACAATAAATTGTTTCTTTTTGCATAAAATTTGAGTTGTTGATGTTTTTCAGGTTGGTAATAGTGTGAACTAGTGTGTTGGTAGTAAAGTTACCAACTGCGGCGACTGCCCTCTGTAAACGCGGCATGTTGCCGTTACGCCGGCCGCCATTCCGCATTCACTTCGCCCACGTTGCGTTTGGCACAATCAGGTCAAAGTATTTCTTCGATTTCTCGCGAAAACAGCAGTGCAAAGGCGTGCAGAGTGCGATTAATAGTGAATTCTTGTCGATAAGTGTTTGTACACTTTGAAACACACATCTATTCTAAAGGTATGTACATTTTTTTTTCGTTTTATAACCGTCAACCGCATTCGTCGCGCATTAACCAATTGTGGTGTGTTATCATGCTAATTACATACGTTTTAATGTAGTTATGCGGTGATGTGTCGTTTACGTGTCTGGTAATAATCGATTCTGAGAATTAAACTGGTTTTCTTCGAAGTCGTTACTTTCCACGTGTTTGATGGTATGCGGCATGAAATGCCGTAGACCACTGTCCGCCATTTCGAATTTCCATTTTAAGGCCATGCTGTTTTGGTGGAACTTTCTAGATATATGTAGATAAAACATAAATAGCTTCAATTATTTATATTTATTCCGTTTAATACGTAACCAGAACTTATATAACATTGATTTGCAATCACAGCTTGAAACCTGAAGTGTTTACTTAAGATATACGATGATAGTACATAGATAATAACTGATTTTGTTTATAGGAAAAATGGGGACACGCGTGTTTGTCGGTGGGCTCACGTACAAAGTCCGTGAGCGCGATATCGAGAAGTTCTTCCGCAAATATGGCCGCATCAAGGAAGTTGCGATGAAAAATGGCTTCGCTTTTGTGGTAAGTTTCACCCTATAGTAACAAAACTTTATTTATTTCGAATATTTGTATGATGATTTATTTTTCCATCTTTCGGGGCTGATATGCTAGTGATGCTAAAATTTTAACTGATGTTCATAACATTTTATAATAGAATCTTAGTTAGTTAGATTTTTCCACTAAAAATATATTTTTCTGTGTTTTATAGGAGTTTGATGACTACAGGGATGCTGACGACGCAGTTTATGAATTAAACGGCAAAGAATTACTTGGTGAACGGTAATTTAACCATTAATTAGTTTATAAATTGTATTGATTATTGCTTGTGTACATTTACAGCGTTTCTGTTGAACGTGCACGTGGCACACCGCGTGGATCAGATCAATGGCGTGGCAGCGGTGGCGGAGGCGGAGATGGTGGTCGCCGTGGGTATGGTCCTACACGTGGACGCAGTCGCGACAAGTAAGTCTTCTTTCTTGTAACTTTTTTATTTAATTTTACGTTGTTATGATGATTTATTACCATCTTTCGGGGCTGATATGCCAGTGATGCCAATTTTTCTAACTGATGTCTTTAATACACCTAATGTGTATGTTTTTATTCGGGTTATCGGTTACTTATTTAATTGTTTCTTGCAGATATGGACCACCAACAAGAACAGAATACCGCCTAGTCGTCGAGAACCTTTCAAGTCGCGTCAGCTGGCAGGTGAGTCTTGACAAACCGACGCGTCACTTTCGAATTGAACGCGAGACAAGCGAACAGAATCCGGTTGCATGCGATTATCTCTCTTTCTTTATTGCTCTCCGCCTCCCGAGCTTCCACCGGCCCCCCGCCTCACTCCACCATCCCTCCTGTATCCTCGCGGAGCCTCGTTACAATCACCAACCACCGTCACGTGTATCATAACCGAATCATTAGCTTATTGTGAACGAGCTGAGAGCGATGCAATGCGATGATGCGATGTGCGATCACCGGCCGTCTCCAGAGTCGGATCCGAGGGCGAGGGCAAAGGGGCAATCCGAGTCACGAGCCGTTGGGGGTGTTGTCAGAGACTGTCTGTGTGGGTGCACCATGCAAAGGGTATTATCTCGATCTATGGGACGCCAATTCCAATCCGATCAAACGTATACGTTAAAAACCATCCACGCACTCGCGAGATGAGCAAAACTATGATGGCGGAGAGTCGATTCGATAGCCAGATGGCTGAGTGTGGGGGCTAGAGAGGGCGGCGACGACGTCGACGCCGGCGTCACGCTTATCCGTAGAACGGGGGGAGAGGTTTCGTTTGCGAGTTGCCGTCGCATGTCAGTCATGTTCTTCTGGTACATAGCGTAACAATCAAACTCCTTTTATCTGTTTTTATTTTATTATTTTCTCTCTTTAATTTTCTAATTCATTGTTTTTTTTGTTTTAATACTATCTTTTTAATTTAATTTTTTGATCATTTTTAATAACTTAATCATCCTGATTTGAAATCCTTAGTCTTCAACGAATTTGCATTGCTTTAGAGTCGTTTGTTTAGAGTCTGAGAGTAACGTAACGTAAACGAAGTTTATTTTCTCAAGCAATTTTTATTTAATCTATATTTAAAAGAACGCAGCGCCAATTTAAATAATGATAATTGATGATGAAGTTGATGATGATGCATACATATATGAAAATAAAAGTGACTTTTTTGCAAAGAGCTCCCATTCCCTTGGAGTGTGACGTACACGTACTAGGGCTCAATATGTCTGTCATTCAATGCGATCAGTATGGCCAAGTGAGGTCGAGTACCCGTTCATGTCTAATTCTACCGCCCCATTGGTTGCTCGTGTCTCAGGTAATACCTTAGCATGACGCGCAATATATTGTGAATCATACCTTTACATATTGTCAAAAGATTATATACCTATTTATATATAATTATATATAAATTATCTATTGTTATGTGATGATGATGAGTATCTGAGTTGATGGATGATGAAGAGTGATGATGCATCCAGGTGGCGTTTTGTTACGGCGCGCGGACTCTGTTGTAATCGCTGATTGACTGTGTGGAGGGAATATAATGGTCGCAAAGGGTTCCACTACGTCGCGTCGATGATGGTCCCAATTCCGGTTCCGGTCCGTATCAAGAATGTGTCGCCAGCGTGTGCTCAATCAGCAATTACACAGCTTTAAAAAAATATTTTCTTGAAAAAATGATTGAAGTATCTTTAAATTTATTTCTGCTGCAGCAAAACGCAACCGAAGTCATTGTAAATCTTTGATGCTTACATGTATTCGATACATTTCGTGAAAACATTGGGTTTTGGTTTTCATGCACACCCACACACTACAAAAACAAATATCAAACACACGATTTCTAAAAACTTAAACGGCTGCAGTAAAACTTTGCATCGCGTATTTTTGCGTTCAATGTGACTTTACTATATTGATGTACTGTTTCTCAAGCTCAATCATGTGTTCAGCACGCTTTCGATGTATTTAAATGATGTTTTCTTTGGTTTTATTTGCTTTTATCTCGGCGAAGTTTTACTGTATCGTCTGTAACACACCTGGTATGTTGTGAAATGATAGACGTAGTTCTTATTTACCACTTTATTGTTATTTTTGTTTTTGTTGCGCGTTGTTTTTGGTATTGATTATCTGTTTTCGTATAGGACCTGAAAGATTTTATGCGGCAAGCCGGGGAAGTTACCTACGCAGACGCACATAAACAACACCGCAATGAAGGGTGAGTTTTTTAAATTAATTTTTGTTTATTGGTTCAGTTATTGATATGATGATTTATTTTTCCATCTTTCGGGGCTGATATGCTACTGATGCCAATTTATTCACTGAAGTTTCTTTTAAAAATATTAAATTTTGTATTTTTTTTTCATTTTACTAAATTTTAATTTATTATTTCCAGAGTGGTTGAATTTGCTACAAGCACAGATATGAAGAACGCGATAGATAAACTGGACGACAGTGAATTAAACGGTCGTCGTATTCGTTTAGTGGAGGATCGTCGTCGTGGTGGTGGCGCCGGAGGCAGACGTTCACGTTCGTCCAGCAGCCGTAGCAGGTCTCGGTCACGATCCAAGAGGAGATCCCGCTCGCGTTCCAGGTCACGATCACGTTCCCGCAGCCGTTCCAGGAGCAAGTCGCGTTCTGCTAGCCGATCGCCGGCCTCACAAGGCGGCGGCGGTGGCGGACGCTCCAAGAGCAAGTCGCCCGCGCGCTCCAAATCTAGATCACGGTCTATGTAAGACAAAACAATCAAAAACAACCCTCGCAATTTAAACATTCACACACACCCCAAATTCATAGAATCATAATTCATGCTCGTCCATTAGATATTAATTCGATTCCTTTCCGTTGTGCAGCGAACGATCCAAGGAAATGTCCAAATCTCGCTCGCGTTCTCGTTCTAAGCATTCGAAGTCGCGATCGCCCAGCAAGGAGAAGGAAAGGTAAAGATAACATAATAAAAATTTGAGTTTGAGTATACATAAGTTTTTTGTTTCAGGTCCCGGTCTAGATCAGAAAGTAAAGGAAGATCGCGCAGTCGTTCTCCGATGAAGGAGGACGGCTCGCCGGAGAAACACGACGACTGAGCTGCACACCCACTTACCTTGGTCCCGGCTCGCTGTCTCTTTTGATGTAGGAGTAGCCAATGGTGTAATTTGTGATTTATTCTTCTTTTTGTTTTCGTTTATTTTTCGGACGAGCATTTTTTTCACGCGAGTTTACATCATTTTCGTAGCCATTTCTCAAGTTTTCTTTTGGACTATCACAACAAAAGTATAATTGTTTGGTTATTGCTGGTTAAAGGGTCCACTCCTTGCTTTTTATCAAAGTTGAATATTGTTCTGAAGCTAGAATTTACGCCATTTCACAGGCTCTCCCCTACTATATACTAATTAGTTTGCTAATTTTTAAGATATTTTGAAACGGGAAATTTTATTTGACTTCGTGGCAAGATAGCAAACGCGCGCGGCGTGGTTTTATCCATACTTATATTTTGGATGAAGAGAGGTGACAAGAAAACATTTTGTTTGGTAAATTATGTATTCAAATAACCCTATTACTTTTAGATTACTAACGACTATTATGATACATATACATAAATGTATAGAAGATAATTTGCTGCATTTTATTTCGTCTCTTGTAAACATTTACAGTTAAAAACCTGTCCTGGAAATCACTTTGATTTGCTAAAGTTGTTTGTATTGTTGGTTGGGTTGCCTACCTACCCAGGCGCGTATACTAGACGTTTGTCACTTGTTTTCACATCAAATACTTCCATTCGTTCAATTTTTAACAATATTCTATATTATTTTACTGCGATAACACGACACTATCGCATAAAAATGTCCGGGGTGAAGCTACAGGACGATATTAATAACATTCCGTTAGCGGACGATGATCCACAAGGTATAAAACTGCAGAAAACAATATTCTAACCAACAAAATAACATTTTAAAACATATATTCACTTAACTTTTGTAATTAGTTATAATCGCCGATGAACCCGAGCCTACATCTGTATCAGATGCGAACTTTTCGAGTATGATGCATGGCCAGAGCATGGATTCCATCCAGTCCACCTTCACCAATGGCAGCTCCAGTCCACAACATCATAGTCTTGAACAAGACTCCAGTCCTGATGAACAGGAAGAAAAAGCAAGACTAATATCACAAGTCCTAGAGCTGCAGAACACTCTGGACGATCTATCGCAACGTGTTGACAGCGTAAAAGAGGAAAACTTGAAGCTCAAGTCCGAGAATCAAGTACTTGGTCAGTATATAGAGAATCTCATGTCCGCATCGAGCGTGTTTTCGTCTACGTCGCCGAAAATCAAGAAGAAATAGATTAATTTAGCATATTAATATTGCGAACAGATGCCATACATAATATTAATTTGAGATTCTAGTCTCCTGTTGATAAAAAATATAATATAACTGTTTGGATTTATCATAAATAGGACAAACAGTTATATTATACTTTTCCTGCTAGTCTGCGGCTCCTGCCTGAGTTTTTTGTTTGTCAGCTCCATGATGGTTGATTCTGCTTCAGCTTGCTTTGCAAACGCGAACGCCTGCACGTTTTTGGAGTGAGATACATGGGCAGACAGATTGCATTTCAATGATTTCCTACTCAAACTCAAAGCTCGATCTGATAATATATTTAATGTTTTATAAAATATACAATATATATCTTCTATGATGTAGTCATAGTCATAACTCAATGTGAGTCAGCTTGCAGTTGTTTATCTCTCACTTTAAAATGTTAATAATAAAATAATTAGTGATTTTTTTCAAATATGGCTCGTTAGGTATCAACAAAACAAAAAACACTGCAAGTTATTGTCATATTGACAAAATTGATAAACGCAAAACATAAAATCTACTTCAGTCTTATTCGTACAGTTTATCCTCGAACACGTCCGTATGTTCTTTGCAATTGTTATCTTTACTGTGACGTTTTAACGTGTTCAAAGTATCGTACAATTTATTCGAGCGCAATGTACCAGTTTGTGTTTGATTATTCAAACTAGTTGTGGCGTTCTGCTGCCGCCGATGGCGATCGTGGAATGGCACCGTAATATACGGATTAGATTTCGTGCTCATGTAATGTGGGGAACTGGGGACACTCTCGCGTCGTCGACGTCTTCTTCGAGCGTAGAAATACATTAAACTTACTCCGGTCATGAATCCGAATATTAACGCGATTGTCACATAGATTATTATTTCGGAGACTGAAGATTGCGCAATTTTGAACGCTCCTGTTCGAGCTGCAAACAAAAATGGCGGTGTTTTACACTTTTGTATATTTTAAAACGTTTAGAATACTAACCATCCCATTCTTTGCCCGTAACACACATTCTTGTCTCCTTGGGAGGTCCTTGACATATCTGTGGACCTGGATTTGCGGTTCGACAAGACCTCTTGCGATGTTGTTCGTTATTAACATCACATTCAGACCATACAGTCCATTCATCCCAACCTAACAAAGCTGTAAAACATATAATGTTAATATTTTATAGGTTATGATATAACATGGGTTAGGATTATACTTACATCCACATGGGGGACCTCCACATTGTTCCTCTTGCATATGTTCCCCTGTACATGACGCCCCCAAACAACTCCTGTAACGTTTGCGTATCCCCCACCCACAGGATACACTACACGGTGACCAATCCGACCAACATCCCCAGGTGCCTTTACAATCTACCATACACTCCCGTGTCTGTACCGATTGTCCTTTACACTCGCGTCCTTCACATCTCCTCTCGCGCGTTTCATGCCCTATACCACACGTAACACTACACCTGCTCCATTCACTCCACTGGCCCCAGACAGCCGCCTCCTCCTCGCAGTGTTTATTCCTACACGCGATCTCTTTATGTGTGATGTGTATCATTGAATTGGACGCCACCTGCGCCCTACACGTGTATCTCACTTTCTTTGTAATCAATTGTCCTTCGGAATTAGTGTAGTTGAATGTAGCCGTCGCTGTTTTTCTCTGCTCCGGACATTCTCTTCTACACGCGTCAAATTCAATATCACTTCCTGTACAATCCTGACCTCCACTCAACGGAGGTGGATTATTACACCTTCGCATTCTTGTCCGGAAGCCACCACATTGTTGCGAACATGTACTCCATGGTTCCCATTGTCCCCAGCCGCCATCTTGTGGAGTTGGTACTGGCACCGGACATGGCGGATTTCCAGTACATAACACCTCGGATCTATCCTGACCAACACAGACTCTTCCTCCAAACGCAGGCGATGGATTCGTGCAAGTTCTCGTGCGGGTCTTCACAGCAACACCACACGTAGCAGAACACTCCGACCATGCGGACCATGAAGTCCAACCACCATGCATTGTACAATTAGTAACCGAAATAGCTTTACCCACGCAATTCAAACCATCATTCTGTGGTGCAGGATTGTTACACTCACGCCTTCTACATAAACATTCATCTGTATCATCTGAAGCAGAAGAGATATGCCCACATGAATGCCAACTACCCCAAGTACTCCAACCGCCATCAACAGGTGCATCTAACACTGGACACGTCCCCACTCTCTGCACCCAATATTTATCCCCTGTATCACCATTGGGAGCAGTTGTACAAGCGTCTGATATTTCATTCCAACCACAATACGGGTCCATGGCATTCAGACAACTTTCACGCGATCTGTGACGGTCACAATGATGCGCTGGTATTCTCATCAACGCATCCCTCGTCCCAACATACACTGAATTAGTCTCTTTAAGATATTCCACTTTTAGAATCACATTTTGTCCCAAACCACGAGCCACAGGCCGCCAAACTTCGATTAAACACGTTTCTGACGTTCCAGGATATACAGACAACTTCTTGATTTCACCTCCTTGAGTAGCCACATAGATTACATGAACTTTCGACCGTTTGGTGGTTAATACATCAACGGTAATATGCGTGAACCTCTCTAAAGCGACATCATACAACGGCCGAAGTGTCGTCGGTTGGACAGCAAAGTCCATCAAGTGATACTTGGAACTTTCGATGAGGTTACGACTTTGTCCACCGGCGGAACACTCGAAGCCTTCCGGATTCTCAGCGTAGTGTTGACCCCAAGCACTACCGACATGATCTTGATACTTGAAAGGACCAGCAAAGGCTTCATTAATGGCAGACATATTAAAACCACACACTGCGGATCCTGCTATACTGTTAGATTCTGTTGTAAAAGTTGCATACAATATATTTTCTTCAGGGACATAAGAAAATCCTTGGATTTCATTGTAATAGAACGGATATTGTCCGGCGATGGAGCAATTCAATCGGGCTTTGATGAAAGTGGTCCAGTTGTCTTTGAGCATCAACTGTCCACCGATATCCTGCTTGCAAACGCGCGCAATACGCGAGTAAACAATCTGAAAGTCAAAGTGAAGAGTTTTTGAGTTTAAGAGTTAATTTCCTGCTTTTTGTTTTTGTTTATATACCTTTCCGCAGTTGATGTACTCGACAGCCGCTTCGCGGAATACGAAATAGACGAATTTGTCATTCTCAAAGGACCCGACGAACTGCGGTTCGTTCAACCACATGCTGTCATACTGCTTCGTCCTGATCCGGCTATCTTTGTAGATTGCAAAATCTGACCCAGAGAAATCCGTTGGTCCACCCATAAAATAATCACCGGATTCAGTGAGGAGTGCGGTTGTGTTCGATGCAGGATTATAAGGACATCGTGCAATTCCATCAACGACATCTGTGATTGTGTTCAGGCTTTCAATCTGTGCGAAATTCGTATTGAAAATTAATTTAATTTAAATTAATTAAAAGGTTACGAGGGGTAATATGGTACGCAAAGCGTGAAAGTGTCTTGTATGCATAATTAATTACCAAATTAACGAACGTACAAGCTAATTACACGCTAGCAGGATTAAAGATTGCGTTGCGTTGGTTAGTTAAGGCGGCGCCAGAATGCCGGTGTTTAAAGTTTTACGTTTTACCTCTCGCCAGGTACACGAAGGTGCGAACGACTGCGTCCCACACGCGAACACTTTGCGACCGTTCGTCAGCAGCACTTTGATGAAGTTGTGGCAGTGCTCTTCGGTTTGACCCTTGGCGAGACACATGGCGGTTTTCGCTGGTGATGCTTGCCATGTTGCGTTTTCGAGGAGTTGGAGATGCGGTAAGGAAAGTCTAAACAAAGCATCCCTGCAAACACACACAGGAAAAGAAAAAAAAGAGTGGATTAAATCCAGTTTTCAATCAAAGAAACAAAATAAAACGAAAAGGGACGAGTTTGCTTTTGCTTTACTAACCTTGCTCCGACGAGAACCTGATTTCGCGCGACATCGAATAATAATTGCGAATAAGTCGTGACTCCTTCTGCGTGAAACTCGTCTACTGTCAACTGAAGATCTAGAAATTAAAGGTTTTATATTTATTTATGGTAATTTATGAGCTGGTTTTCAAGTGACACTTGCTACGCGCGAAAAATTGTTTTTTCTCTTGTATTTCCAAAATATTGCAAGTTTTTTAAAGGTATTTAGCTCATAAAATGCAGAATTAATTTAATTTGAATCGGTTCGTTTGCTAATTTTGTATGATTAATATTTTTGGAGATATTTTAGTTTTTTTTTTAAACAATTTTTATATTTTTTTTTTTTCAAAAACTGCTCCAAATATAAAAACTTAAAATTGAACGGATATATCAGTACTCAAATTTATAAATTCAAATTTTCTTTGTTTTTTGCATTTTTGCAAATTTTCTGCAAAAAAATTAAATATTTTGCCAATATAATTCAAAATAAACAATTTTTGCGCATTGCTAGTGTCTTAAATAAAACTTTTCAACTGTTAAACTTTACTGGTAGTTCTTATCAGCGTTGTTGACATCAAACGGCTAGAAGTGGCGTGAAATTTCATTAAATTTAATTTCCTTGAAAATAGGCGCGCGGCGTTTGCTGCTTATCAAGCATGTCACGCAATATTGAGATCGCCTCAAGCCTTTTTAAGCTCGCAAGCAAATATCCAAACAGTTCAAACAGTGCGCTGATAACAGTGCCTAAAGTCTGAGATGTCTGATGTGAACACTGCGCACATCACATTTGTTGCAAACATCCGAGTATCACGCCTGATGCACATCACGCACACCGTACAGTTATTCTGTTATCATTACTAGATTAGTGTTATAAAATTTTTTTAAGCTCAAACAGAGAGATGATAGATAAACAACTACGATAGACGTGTTTTCATTTTTTCATTGTAGGAAATCTTATTATTTACCGAGTATAACTTGATAATGATAAGAGATAAGTAGTGCAAGTAGTTATTATAGTTATAATTGTTACTTACCTCGATGTGAAATGTGTCGGAAATCATTTTTCTCATTTGCATCAGATATACTGCTAGTTATTGATAGTGGCAGCAGCAGTAGTAAACTGATAACGATAATTAATTCTGGGAAACCCATTTTTAGGTGTTTTATGGATTATTCTGGAAAATTAAACAATAAAACATGTTAATTTGCATTGCATGGCAACATAACCTATAAAATTATGCATCATAACCTGCATTGTGTTTAACTCAGAACATTCATGACATTTTTTTTGTTTAAGACGTATTCTAAGGTTAGCTAAATATCAATTTCAACCAAAATTAACCAAAAAATGAAAGTGTATGTGTTCTAAATATCATTAACGCACTAGTACTACTATAAAATCGGAATTTTATGCACTCTATTAGTGCAAAATTATAAATATATAGCAGTAGTTTACTGATAACTGATAATTAATTCTGAAAACCTCATTTTTGAGATGATTCACCGATTGTTATGATAATTTAAGCACTAAAACATGATAATTTGAACAGGAGACAACAATAACCTAAAAAAATATTTGAATGATTAAGCATCATAACCTGTAAATTGTGTTTAACATTGAACATTTATGATTCCGTTGAGAAATAATCAATATTCTCGTTGTAATGTTAGCGTGTAACAAATGTCAAGTAATAAATTCCTCGAACTTTGCACACACATGAGGAATTGACCGTGATAATAAATCGGAATGCGGCGGGGGACGGCTGTCTTCGATAATACCGCAGCATCCATCTTGACGCGTCCGAACAAATCAGCACAGCGCGAACGCAACAGCGCAACAAGAGCAAACAATTAATCATGCATTTAACGCACGTCGATTACGCGCCCGAACGGTTCTCATTAATCGGATCGAGTTTTGCATGCGGGACGGCCAGTGTCCATCTATGGCATATGCAAATTGATTGACTTTCGAATAATGAATGCGTGCACCGGCTGAATTTTCGAATTTCTCTCTCGTAGTAGTGTTAGGCGTTTATTGCCCAATGCACATTCATTAAAATTATAGACGTATTTATGCGACTAGCGCCATTTGAGTTATGCAGATGGATAATCTGGATGTGGATTTTTTGTTTGTTTCGGCGCGGCGCGCACGTCCTACGCAAATATTTCACAAACGGCGACAGGTAACGAAGTCGTGATTGCCGTCTGGCGTTTAGCGACAGAGTAAAAGCGAAAAAGGCAAACATGCAAAACATCTGTGCGGAAAACTCTTTAATTAGGTTAGGAAAATGTGCGCAGAGCGACCAGAGAGTACGCAAAGCATCTTTAAAAGTTAATTTCAACTTTTTTCTTTGATTTTCCGCCAAAATTCAAACTTTACGGAAAGATACTTGTTATTTAATGCCATTTTGTGTTTAAGTTGCATTTTGAGGTTAATTAAATGTGAATTGTGGGATTTTACCCAAATTTAACCTTAAAAAGGGAAAGATTATGTTTTAATAGAAAAAAACATAATTTTCACACAAGTACTACTATGAAACCGCTATTTTATAAAATGTTTTATTGGAAAAACAAGTAGTTTAACCTTTATTATCCAATAATCCAAGTAAACTTTGATTTGTTCAGCTTATTTTTAATTAGAAAGCGTTGGTGTTGCGAAGGCGTTTTGCCTCCACGAAAACAAACATTCAATCAACTTGGAACTTAAAAACCTCATAATTTTTTTTCGACCGTGTCGATGACTGCCCGGCTGTTTTGTTTACCTGGCCGAGTGTGAATCGAGAATTCACAATTACATCACCACGCAATTATCTTTGACCACAACGTGCGCAAAGTATGTCGTGGCATTCCACACGCAGTGCTTGGCGTCTTGTTAAATGTTTATTAAAGCTATTGTTGTTCGATAGCACTTCGCAGCAATTATAGAAGTGGAGATGGCCATTAAATATTAAATGATTAAATTATGCTTAGCATTAGTTGTAAATCACAATACGAGTATGCTAATCATCCTTAATCACATTTATAATAGCATTTATTTAATTAAATATTTAAATTTTGTTTTATTTATATTTAAAGCATGACGAGACGTGATTTACGCATCAATTTATTGTTTAATTACTTTTTAGAGGATTATTACGAGTTGTATGAAGGAGGAATACAAACGAAAGTTTAGTTTCGAATATACGAATGCTAATTTAAATTTGGCGAAAGTAAATGTGCAAAAAATAACGTAGAAATTAGAATTAGAAAGTTTAAAAATAAATTATAGATCAGAAACACGTTTTACAATAAAAAAAAATCGTAGTAAAACGTAAAACTAATAAAAATTTATCTTGATATTTATAAAAATGATTAAAATCTTTTAAGCCGATTTTTTTTTCTATTGCTATAAGTAGTACAACATAACCATAAAATGAAAAGATAACACTTAATCAATTACATAACAACAAATAAGTTTTTAATTAAGTTAAGTAGTACTTTATCTTTAACCAAACAATTTTATCTGATAACAAAATAGGTTTATAAGACACATATGTTGTTGTTAGCCAATTCAAGTATGTATTATCAATTTCGAAACACTGGAAAATGTATCTTTTAATTTGTCTAATTCTGTGTATTTTTAGAAGTTCTCTTGAGTATCACTATACATTTCCACTTTCGCTTTGCCTGTTGATGTAAACCAGTTTTTTCCTAACTTAAGTCCTATGTCCATCTATATCTATCTACTACCTCGCATTTGAAACGCTAAGCTGGGATGGGTCAGGCCCATGCACAAGAAGAGTCATCACGAGTCAAGATCGACCGACCGCACCGCCTCACCGACGCAAGTCAGAGGGCTACGACTCTTGGGTACACTTGGGCCGGTTACCAACACACACCCGAGTGACTTAAGTCATGTATTATACCTACTAGTGCATGTGTGCACAAACGCAGAGATTTAAAACGCAGCATGAAAACAAAACAGGCACTGTGCAGTCCACATGTGACTTAAGTCACAAATCCTATTGTATTGTGTCTGCACCACAAGCCCCTTTTAAATTTTTAACGTTTTTAACTTTGGGTTACTTTGTGCATGACTTGACTTAAGTCATGTTTTGAATTTTTGGGTTAAAAATCTTGCGCATAAGTTTGACAAATGACTTAAGTCACATCCGCGTCTTTACCTCCCTCGTAAATTATGTCTTTATGTCAAGAAAACTATTCTTACGTGACTTAAAAATTAATTTTCTAAAGGTTGTTAAAACTTCCAAGCGTGATTAAATAATATTCAACGATTTGTCGATTCGTCGATAAGCACATAATAGCAATGTTTACAAATAAAATTATTAACAGCGCACGAACGATTATGCCGCCTGTTGCTTTGCGTAAGCTTAAACCGTGTTGTTTTCGTGTCGAAAATCGAGGCGATAGCAATTCAGCATCTCCGGTTACCGTAGAAGAAGATATACGTACCAAGTGTGCAAGTGTTTGCGGCTGCAACATGTTAGCAAAAACGCTGCGTTGCGCAGCAAAAAAAGTTGCGATTCGCGCGTTTTTTAATCATCCAGCAATAGTTCCTCAACACCTATGAGATTCCCTTGGTGGTGGTTCACCCGCCGCGTGCGACTAGGCGTATTTCCGTGAAAACATCACAGATGCGAATTGTGCGCCCGCGAACGACCTTGGTCAACAACGGTACACACACATACACAGAGAGGATAAAATCACACTGCCAACGCACGAGAGGTCTTTCCGCGTAGGTTGTAAAACGGTTGTCGTCACTGAGTCGCTCTTCGTTTTACTTAAAGCGAAACACGCTTGAGTTGAGTTTCGAGTTTTACTCGCGATTGTGGTGTAGTGATGGTGCGGTCTTGGCGGTTTGAGCACTACTGAGCGCGCGCACTCGACTCAGACGCAAACCACCACGTTACTGAGTAAAAAGCCGACTCAGCATCCGCACTTGCGCTCGCGTGCGCACTGGAGACGCATCTTGATCGTATCGCAGGCTAGGTCTGTATACCTACTGTGTATAGTATACTGAGAAGTGACTTAAGTCAAGTCAGAGTACACAATCTCGGCACCAAGCAGTCCGCCCGAGACGTTTTTATCGCTATAAACAGTATAAACAATACGAGTCACCAATTGGCATAAAACATAATATACTTAAGTATATTTAACTTCTAAAACCATTAAAAACTCGTTATTAATTTTATTCGTTTCCTTTATTGATTAATTTTTTTTTGTTTAAACATTATAACTATCTAGTTTGGTTTTAGTATACATTTATTATTGATTTATTACATCCTTGTTGTAATGACCTCATTATAGATTTGTACATGTTGTAAAATGACATCGTAGAAGGTGTTATTATGAATTGTTGAATTATCTCTTATCTGGGATGTCATTTGACGTGGCTTAACCATTTAGGTAGAAACTGTAAAAGCATATCGCAAGATAGGATTAGCTTGGGACTAATAGTTTATGGTGTGGATTTCAAAACATTTAAAACTTTAAAATTTTAAAAACTTAATCTTAGACAGCTCAACTATTGGAATGTTAAAATATTTATCATTCTCTAGGAGGATTAGGACGTGATGTTGGGCAATTATTGGTTTAAACAACGGTTTTTGTGAAAATAGAGTGTTAAATTATACTCTTGTGATGATTTCAGTGTTTTAAGTTTATACTGGTTGGCACTAGTACTGAAAAGTAGTTTTCAGCATGTTTTACATTAGAATTGACATGAATTACACCTAATTGTTAGGCAACTCAAACTACACAACTAGTTATACTACCTTAACTACTGTTACAGTTCACCACTTACCGACGCGCTACCAAATTACAGTGTTCAACAATAACCGACTCCACTTTCGACACTCGCCGCTAGGTGGCGCTGATGCTGAGGCGGAATGAGGCGGAGGCGGGTTTAGAACTCTCACATCTGTTTCTCGTTCCTATTGCCTTGAGTAGTTCCCCCTCCGTGGTTGCATTTTGAGTGCAGGTATAAAAGAGAAAGCGCTGAATTTCTCGAGTCATGATTCTCTATCGAACAGCCGAAGAGTAAACATCTCCATAAACATGAACATGAATACTCAACGTAATTCCACCAAAACTCACGAAAAAATCAACATGCCCTTATTAGGGCAACAACCCACTGCATCCACGACGACGACCACCAATTCAACGCCCTCTGACATCGCCGAACTATTAAAACACTTTCAAGAAGAAAACGCGGCTCTAAAATTCCAAATTGAGCAACTTAAACACTTTATTGAAACGAAGGAAAAGATTCACGACAAAAATCTATCGCGAGATAGATATGCTTTGCCCGTCAAGAATAGATACAACGACCTGCCAATGGAAGAAGAAATTCATACCGACCACGAGGAAGCGCAGGAAGAAGTGGAAGAAGAGCCTTTCCAGGAGGTTCAAAACAAAAGACGCAAGCGGAAAAACAACGAACAAAACGAAAACGACGCACGAAATCACGCACAACAAACCAATCAAATCAACCGTTCTAACATTGGAATAGATACAAATGCAACTACGACACCCAATACCGACCAAAAATTACCTCCAATCGTGATCAAATCCAAAATTATCAATTATAAACAATTTCACCAGAAAATCATTTCAACTACAGCGCAAACTCCAACAATCTTTTACGGGAACAGAACAAAAATATTCGTGAAATCGGACAACGACTACAAAAAACTTATTAATTTATTCGACCATCAACAACTGGAGTATTTTTCCTATCGCAAACTGACAGAAGCTACAAAATCTCTAGTCATCAAAACTGTACCATTTTTGGAAGAAGAAGAACTTACGAAGTTTTACAAACAGCAACATCCGGGCGTGCTATACGTGCGGAAAATGAAAAGCAAGAAGGATGACTCGGAAAGTCGATCATACCTAATTAAACTCACGTCGGAAACCAACATAAATGACATTAAAAAAATCAAAAGCATAGACGGTGCATTCATCCACTACGAACGCTATATAAAACCCACGAAAATAACAATGTGTCGAAGATGTCAGGAGTTCGGCCACGGAACAGAAAACTGCCGGAGCGCCCCAAGATGCGTTAAATGTCCAAAAAATCATCTCACTCAGGACTGCGATAAGGAGCCAGATGCACCACCGATATGCACAAATTGTACCGGACCTCACCCAGCAAACTTCACCGGATGCCCTGCTTACAACAGGTATGTACAACAAAAACACATTAAAGTAGCTGACGTTAGAACTCCAAACCTCACAATCAACGACAAGACATTCCCGCTTCCAAAGCCATATTACAAAGCAACACCTTCCACTGCGCAAAACTCCTCGCCAAAAAATACACACACAAATAACACTAACACCACTCCTAATACTCATCATCCCATGCAATCATATATAAACATCCTACAAAAATTCCAAAAAATCAAACCTGAAATTGACAACGCTCCAACGGAGGTGGAGAAACTAATAGTTATTCTTAAACATTATGGATCCTAAATCCTTAAATCATTTAAAAATCATTACATGGAACGCATGCTCCCTACAAAACAAAATCCTTCAATTTCGACATTTTCTAGAACAAAACAAAATTCATGTTGCATGTATACAAGAAGCCTCCAAATCCAAAAAACCTCTTCCAAAATTGTGAATTACAATCTTATTTCCAACAAAAATTGCAATATACATTAAAAAAGAACTTCACTATGATCAACTCCTCGAAACCGAAAACTCAATTAGCATCCTAGTAAATAAAATTCGCATTACCAACTTCTATAATTATCCGAAATTTGCATCTGACCTTAACGAATTAAAATATATCACAAAATTTCCAAATACCATAATCCTTGGCGACTTTAACGCGAAACACACGAACTGGAATAATTCATCAACTAACCAAAATGGAAAAATCCTAAATGATTTCCTTAATTGTCATCCACAACTTAACTTACTTTACCCACAAAATTCTTACACCCATTACCCGACAAATGGCAATAATCCTTCCACAATAGACCTAATTGTCACCAACTTAAAATTTTACGTTGAACCTCCTTCAACGGTCAATGACCTGGACTCCGATCATCTACCTGTCGCCACGCGAATCCACTTAAAAGTCCCCATAAAATTAAATACCAAAATTTCCCGAATTACAAACTGGACCAATTATAAAAACTACCTGAAAAACCAAAATCCCAATTTTCCATTACACAGTACTAACAGCATTGACAAAGCCCTGCACCGAATAACAAATGCCACTTTGAATGCATACCACAAAAACACACAAATTATAAACACTCCCTCACATAAATTACAACTTCCCCGTGACATCCTAAACTTAATTAACACCAAAAACAAACTACGTAAAACATCCCAAAAATATAATCTAATCCAAATCCTTAAACCCCAAATTAATAAAATGTCCCAAGAAATTAATGAAAAAATTGCCTCCTACACCAACCTGCAATGGAATCATAAACTATCCAATACCAAGAATCTCCTATCCGTTCATAAAATCATAAAACAACTAAGAATTCCCAACCAAAAAAACACTCCATTACTCACGGCCAATGGCATCAAATTTTCTACACAAGAAAAGAGTGATGCCCTGGCTGACGAATTTTCCAAATCTTCCTCCCTTACCGATCACCTACACGATAACACATTTCATGACCACATACAAAATACGATTAAAAATTTCCTACAACAACCTCAAACAAATCCATGTGATCCAATTATAAATTTCACGTCATTACAATCACTTATTAAATCACTTCCCAATAAAAATCTCCTGGTAAAGACAAAATTACTAACGAAATGATCAAAAATATCCAAACAACTTTATCCTTCAACTAGTAAAAATCTATAATGCATGCTACCAACTAAATTACTTCCCTAAACAATTTAAACACTCTGTAGTAATCCCAATAGCAAAACCGAATAAAAACCCAACACTTCCACAAAATTATCGTCCTATTAGCTTAATTTCTATGCTCGGTAAACTTAACGAAAAAATTATTAATGTAGAACTAACAAAACACACCCAATTACTTAAAGTTATACCTGACTCCCAATTTGGCTTCCGAAAACATCATTCTACTAACATGCAAATAGCTAGAATTATTAACAAAATCACCATTAACACTAATCTGAACAAAACTACCTCTTTAACTACAATAGACTTAACAAAAGCATTCGACACTATTTGGCATGACGCGTTAATTTATAAACTTATTCTCTTAAAATATCCCAAAAATCTAATCCTGCTAATACGCAACTACCTGAGCAATCGCTCTTTCCAAGTAAAACTTCAAAACACTTTTTCCAACTCGCAAAAATTAACCACAGGGGTCCCACAAGGCGGCGTACTTTCTCCCCAACTTTACAACATTTATACCCACGACATTCCTACCGATCCAAATACCGATATTGCCTTGTTTGCTGATGATACCGCAATCATCACTACATCATCTCAAACCGCTCAAGCTAACAAATACACCCAACAACACCTAAACAAACTCCAAATGTATTACCAAAAGTGGAAACTCCTCCCAAACCCGGAAAAATCCACAATTACCTACTTCGGCAACCGAAGAAAATCCAAAAATCATCAATCTACTCCTTCTTTAAACAATTTAAACATCCCAGAAACACCCGACCCTAAATATTTAGGCGTAATTATTGACAAAAAATTAACTTTCAAAAAACACATCTCTTCAGCCTTATGCAAAGCCAGAATTACCAAAACAAAATTATACCCCCTTCTTGGACCCCATTCAAAATTAAATACACATCTGAAAACCCAAATCTACAAATCTTACATTCTTCCAATTTTAACGTACGGATCACAAGTAACTGAACTTGCTGCAAAAACAACTAAATCCAAAATGCAAATTTTCCAAAACGCGATTCTCCGGAACATACTCAAAATCACGCGACAATCTCGAATTCGCACCAAAATTATTCATGAACGTACGCGCTGCGAAACAATTTCAAATTACATTAAAAAATTAAATACCAATTTTTATAAACATCACATTTTAGCGTCCAACTTAACAGAAAACATACTAAATCATCCCCTTAAAAATCATTATAGAAATAACCAAAAAACTCTCTCAAATATTCCTCTAAATTAATTACTCCCCTTTTCCCCCTCTCTTCCATATTATTAACGTCTCTACTTTGTGTTTTTTTTTACTACCTACGTATCAGGGCACAAGTGACATAATAATAAAACTCTCGTCGTAAAATCATCAATGATGTCAATCATATGTAAATTCTAAAAATTAGCAGGTAATTTGTTCGTCAAAAGGTACTGTATTAAAATTATTATTAAATCGTAAACAATAAGAAATATGTACTGTGTAAGTTATTTTCTATTTAATTGTTTTTGTTTATACTTAATTTATTAAATGTTTTCAAAAAAAAAAAAAAAAAAATGTGTTTTTTTTACTACCTACGTTCTCGAGTCATTCGCGTTTCATTTGTTTCAGGTGCAGTAGATTAGTTAGGGATCTGTTGTCTCTATAGATAGCCACATATATTGTCAACATATATCGTTCTGAGGTCGTTGCAATACAGAATTTTTACTATTTATTAAAGCAAAATCAAATTCAAAATTGTAAAAATATAAATTTTTTCTTGCTATAATATTTATTCTATACCTGCTACATTGATATTACATATTTTTCTATAGAATATTTTGAAAGGATGAAAATTCATATTTCAATATTTCTGTAGCAATATATTCCTCCATTCTTAATCTAAAATTAAATTTTAATATATTTTTAATATCACAATCTCGTTGATTGCACAATAGAGGACTTTTGACAATACCCAAAAAAGTTGTGCTATCAAAACAAGTACGCAACTCATTGTTGCATACGAAAAATGTATTACCTATACAAAATGTAACAATAGTGCAGGTTCGCACAATGGTGCATATCGTACACGTAGCGCACTTGACATTACGCGCAGTTTACGAGTTGTTTTGGCCGGCTTCCAGCAAACTCTCCGCGTGAAGTAAATATTAAAACCCGAGCCACGTAATATTTTTATATGGTGCTACACCATCATGCGTTTTGTTTCCATGGATACAAGTACAAGTACAACCCTGTATTATTAAGACATAAATTATTTATTTATTTTTCCTAGTTTTTCCAGGATTTAAAGGCACAAAAAGTTGCACTTTTAGCACGAGCGGCCAAGGCAGTGACTAAAGTGTTTTAGTCACGGGCTTTAGTCACGGGGTGGGGCTAGCGCCTGCGCATTTGCCTCCGGCGCAGCACCAGATCATATAAAATGTTATGCAAATTATCATGTCCAGGCGTGCGTTATGTCATTTGTAACCTTACATTTCCCAGAAGTGTGCGAGCAAATTTTGAAGATTTAAAATATAAAATTCATTTACAAAAACCTAAACGTTGAAGTGGAAGTAGAAAAAAACGTTGTTAAACACTGCTTTGATTAAACGCTCGCTCTTAATTAATCTCGTGACTAGAACTCTTCTTTAGCCACTTGATACTTAATATACTATATTTATAGTGTAGATGATGGTGTATGATAATTTTGATTTGTTTACCGAAATACCGGGATATTCAAAATTAATTATTTAATAAATTAAGTAACCAAACAAAATGAATAAGCTAAATAGTAAATAAAAATAAATTAATACATTATCAATTTAATAGGAATGGTTAATAAAAACAAATAAAACTAATTGACTTTTAAAGGATTAATAAAAATACCGGTATACCGATATTGATACCGGTATTTCCGACTATAGAATAGTATAGTTTTAATTAATTACTAACGCATACACTTATACTCGTATATTTCCATCCTGAGATGCTGAGATCATCTTACGAAATTGCACTTCAAGCGGATTGCTGATGAAGCAAGGGTGTTATCCATATCAAAAACAAAGACTGCCTAATTCACAGTCTCACAGTCTGGAGCCATGCAAGCGTCGAGTAAATGTTAAACAGGAGTTAATGGAATTGTGATATCGGCGCGAATGCACAACGCAAGCAAAGCCTAGCGAAAGAGAATGATAGAGATGAACTGGAACTGGTTGGATTCAGTTTCAGCGCGAACAAAGCCAAGCACAGGCTGTGCAATCGCGAAATTCGGAAACGCGGAACGAAATTTACACAGTGGTATCATCCTCGTTTTGTTCAAAGGGCAGTAATCGGAATTCCAGAGATTATATATAGAAATACACTAAATATGCCTTTGTTTGGTGTATTGTACTAATATTTGCAAAGCTTTATTGTTGACCAATTTTGCTATTGACTTTCTTTGTGGTTTCAATTGTATCCTAGTTAAATATTTGTATTTTATTCTTTGGAATAGTTTTATCTTAATTAATTTTGGTCAAAACTTCATATTTATTATATTTATTCATTTTTTTAGAATGGTGATTACAAAAGAAAAATTTCTTATTAAAGGTGTTCGGTAGATGTATGTGAACTCAAAGCATAGGCATTTTACAGAAAATAATGTTTAGCGGTTAAAAATGAATAATTCTTTCGTTTCACCGCTTTTTTAGAAGTTTAGCAGTTCTAGGATAATAAGAATTTTATTTCTACCTTTGATTTTTAGGAGTACAAATAGAAATTTTTATTTTACGAACCATTAAACATGTTTTTACTGCTCAAGAGCTGTAAGAGTAAAAACATTTTTTCCTTAAATTATACCACCAAAATAGTATATTAAGTATTATGTCGTTAAACAGGGTTTTGTCACGAGATTGATTAAGAACTAGCGTAGCGTTTGTTTAATCAATCAGGTGTTTAACAACGTTTAGCCACGTGAGGTTGACGCTATTTTTTCTACTTCCACTCTTTTTCCACGTTGAGGTTTTTGTATATAAAATCATCAAAATTTGCTTGCATATTACTGGGAAATGTAAGGTTATAAATGCCGGGCCGCGGCGACACAAGTACGAGTACTTTAGTCACGGTCTTCGTCGTCCGTATTTCAAAAAGAAATGAAAAATAATTTTACAACTTCATGAACTTCAACAACTATTCACAGCTCGATATTATTACAAAAACATATTTTTATTTTATATTATTCTATAACTAAATGAATACTGATAAATTTTGCGAAACATAACGTGGGTGCTATTTATCACCACGAGCGGAACCGACAGGAACTGCCAACCTAAGCCTCAATTAAACCCAATATAAAAATAAAAACATATTTCCTCTCTCAGTAAGATTCCAACTTCCAAACGTTTGAATGCTCTGTGCAGTTGCGAAACATTTCTCGTAATTGGACGCTGCTACACTGCCAGACTCCCATACAGACGAGTTTGTGATACTTGATGCGTGAATAAATAAAAATTCCCGCCAGTGTCGTGTTGAGGGTTGGCCGCCAACCGCAAACGATGCCCCATCGGCCGGTGCTAATTGCCACGGCGAGGGCAGCTGCCGTGCTGTTCCTGCTGCTTCTATTGTGCGCTGCGATCGAATCCCGGCGCGTGCACCATGCAGGTATACGCAAATTTGTTCGTTTACGAAATAAGCTTCAGCGCACGCTTCAATAGGCACAAATAATTACGAAACGTAATGTAACACGCTTCTATCAGCGCGCAGGTTTATTTTCAGAATTTATCTCATTAATTTTACGCATTTATTTCGTTCATTTATCAAATTCTCCGACCGGAAATACTAATAATCATATATTTTAATATTTAATTAGCGCAATGCGTGTGATTGTGATTGTGAGGGGTGTACGCAGAGTGCTGGATAAAAATCGATAATGTGACTAACATAATTATACAGTATGTGACATTATTAAATCATTTGAATCAAATTTCAAAGAAAAAAAAGAAAAAAAAATAGTAATTTTACGGTCTTGCCAAAGGTAAATTTTCTAAATATAGTATTTTTTAATAATTCTGACAATTTTATTTTTATTTTGAAATATTTTTTACATTTTGCGGGCCTCTAAAAATATTGCAGCTTTAGGATTACGAATAATCTACATTAAAATAATATTTATTAGTAAAATTAACATTTTTGACGTATTATAGCTAAAAGAATATTTTTAAAATCTAAAATGTTAAACATGTACCAATGTTGGAGTTGCGGTATAAGTGCCGAACATATACGTAAATCACAGCATGTTTATCACTTCCTGTAGATATCATAATTTTATATTTATAAATTTGTTACTTACCCTGTAGTATAATGTCACATTTTAAATTTGCATTTCTATGCAATAACTTTTCACTTGCAACCGCACTGAGCAAATTTGTTTTGGTTAGATTGAAATTACTTTTACTTATATTTCCACATCATCATTTTTCTTTGTTACCAAGTGAATTCCAAAAAATATTCCAAACCTAATATTTAACATTTAATAAATATTTAAAAGTTATTTTTTTTCTCTGCAGCCGACGATGAAGGTCTTATTAATCGGCCAAAATTGGTGGATGCGCCGCGGAATATCCTGCATCCTGCCGATAAGAAAGCTCTACATTCACATCGGATTAAAAGATATACTGGGATATTAAGCAAACGTTTTAAGGTGCGTAATTGAAAATTATTAATTTAAAATTTAAAATTATTTTTGCATTGCGTTCTATTATTGAAGATTTCATTATTAATATTTTATCTGGAAATTGGAATATTCTATTGAAAGCTACTTGAAAGTATTTTTTGTGCTTTTATGCATATTTCTCGTTTCACGTTTCTCGTTTCGTTTCCCAACAGTTGAATCGCAGATATCAGGAGTGCGTGGGTCCCGGCGAAGTGCAAGGCCATTGTAAGCATGTCGTCTACTGTCCAATGGACGTGGTCGGCATCAGTAGCAAGTCTTCATTGGATTATCTCTGTATTATTGAAAAAATGTACGTATACATTACATTTATTTTCATTTCATCACCAATAGAAATTTTATTAAAAGTGTATGTTCGCTAGTTGTACGGGAACTCAAAACATAAAGGTAAAAATTGTAATTTTACTTGATTTTTGTTGTTTCAAAGCGTAAAAGTCAAAAACATAAATCAGTTTTAATGTTTTTTTATTCTGATTGTGTTAAAATTGGCTGTGACAGTTTGATAGACATGCAAAATGAGTAAAAATCGTGTAAAAAGGGATTTGAGATCATTTTTTTAGGAAAAACCTAAAAATACAAGAAATATTTTGACATCATCAAGACGGAAATAAAAAGAAAATAAATTTTATTTGAATATCAACCAATTTAAAAAAAATAGGAAAATTGATGGATGTTATCAAAATATTATCACCATAAATAACAATTTATATAAAATAAACTCAAATCGGGAGATAAATTTAGTAAAATTTATTCTATATACGCATTTATAAGATTTGATGATTTAAACATCAGTAAAAGCTTTATATTATGAATGAAAACAGGGTTAAAATAGTGTGAGAAGGCAGAATAGCGAAATAGGGCATTAACATTCAGGGTGCAGGTCATGCACACTGCAGTTCACTGGCGGCGGTCGAGTGCCAGCTCGAAATTCAACCCGACGAGTGCCTAGGAAATCCTGCGGGATCCTGCCAAGTCGTATCTTCTCATGCATACCAAGTCATGAAGATAGATGGATGTGCTACTCAATTTTACAGGATTTAGAAGATTTATATTTGATCCCCGAAAAACAAAAAAGTTCTCTTTTGTGTCTAAAAAAAACAAACAAAAAACAAAATTGGAATGTTTTGCGGTATGCCAACCGTCCGAGTTGAATGAAACAGTTGATTCGGCCGACTCATTTGGAGTTTTATTAGTTTCCGCGCACAAAGCGCACGTTTTACTTCATTTTACCATTTGCACACAACACACACACAAACATCATGACTAATACCGTGCTCGGTTGTAAATCAATCAAACCGTGCTGTGTTCTGTTCTATTCAACTACTGACCATAACACTTCGGTGGAAATTCACCAAATTCGACAAATTATCCAACCTGCGCCCTTGTCATAAAGCACCACACATAATAATAGTTGTATTTATGTGCGTCGCGCACAAATTAGTGGCGCGTGGGTTGATTTCGTAATTTTACATTCCAGGCACGTCGGTGTATGCTGCCCGGACGACATTCTGCTGCGGAGTTTAACCGGCGCACAGGTCATCATGGATTTACCGGCTTCCGGTGACGAGTATGGTGAAGAAGATGCTAACACCGGTGTGTATATTAAATTATTCATCATATACAACCCACCGAACACTTTTTATGTACTTTTATTAGGTTGTGGTTTAATGTCCTTGGCTCGTCCTGCGAGTGGTTCACGTAATACTCCTGCAAAACGTTGGCCATGGCTCGCTGCACTTTTTAAACCCACAATACAAAAACAACAATTTTGTGGCGGTGCAGTCATAACAGATGTACATATACTTACAGCTGCGCATTGTTTTGAAAAGTAATATATGCAACCAATTATACACATTTACCTAACCATATATAATAGTTTAAGAAATGAAGATATTCGTGTCCGCCTTGGTGAATACGACTTCCGGCGTGCAGATGAAACACGCTCTCGGGATTTCGCAGTTGTAAAAATAATAAAACACGAAGAATACAACCAAGCAACTTATGAGCATGACATCGCCATTTTAACCCTGGATAGATCGGCAACCTTCAACTCATACATGTGGCCTATTTGCCTACCTCCTCTGAATAGGACCTACGAGGGTGAAACTGTCACCGTGGCTGGTTGGGGACAGCAGGCATACATGGGTCCTACGAGTGATGTCCTTCTGGAAGTAACAATGCCGGTTTGGCCACAAATAAGATGCGTGGATGCTTTTGCGCAGCGCATCTCCGATAATAACCTATGCGCTGCAGCGTATGAAGGTGGCAAGGATTCATGCCTGGTGAATAATTAATTGAAATTTATTTCATTCGGATCCTTTGGGTTTAAATTAGCAAGATGTTAATTAGCGTGTTTTGTTTTTCTCTAGGGTGACTCGGGTGGTCCTCTTGTATACCAGTTAGAAAATGGCAGATGGGTTGCCATTGGGATTGTGTCCTGGGGCATCGGATGCGGAAATAAGGATCAGCCGGGGATTTACACGCGTGTTGATAAGTATATTCCGTGGATTGTCAGAAATACTATCGTAAAATAAGAAAATTAACACAAAAAAAGAGAAAATGTCAACATAGATATAATTTTAATGCTCAATATAATACATAGTTGGTTTCTTTTATACAATATCCAAGTAAACAATTGCTTCAAGTAATAATACTTAAATTTTTATTGTGTAACGTAAGCACGTTTGCAACGCAACAAGAAATTAAATGTGCGCAACGTTTCGCACACGAGTTTAATTAATAATTTAATTGCATCTGCGCCACGTGTAGAATTTTTTATTTTCAGGTTTTATTTTATTCTGTTTCCGAGATCTTTATTATGCGCGATGCGCATGCGCAAATTGAGTTTTATTTTCTATTGTATTTTATTTCGCCTCGCTTCATATTGGCGCGCTGCTTTATTCCGTTTGGATTTCTTCCTTTCATAAATAAATCAAACGCAACTCAAAGGTTTTTACCGAAGAGGATTTCAGGACGTCTATAGCGACGCGCGCGACTGGAAACATTCGCGCGTTCGTCCTTTGGTCCTCTTTTTAATTTTTTCTATGTTGCGACAGTAACAAAAAAATAAATAAAAAATTCTCTCGGCTTTGACATGTAGAGCGCACAGTCAATTATTCATTGCTTCTCGTGCTCAAACAATTTTAGAAATTTAATACTCTGTTTCATTAGAAACTGTCAAAACACAAACAATGATTTATAATTTATACAAATACTGACGTTTTTTGTTTCAGTTTAATTTAGTTTTTGTTTGTTTTTATGCTCCTAATGGATATACTCGTAGTGTACTTGTATGTAGAGAATAATTTAGCTTACTGGTCCACAATTACATTTCCTTTCGGGCGTTCCGTTCCTTCGTTTCCACTGTAATTTGTGGCGGCAAAAAATTACATTATTTAACTGCTGGTGCAAAGTATGGGGTGCTTTTTTCACTTTCTCTTTGGTTTCACTTGTTTGTATTTCGAAAGTTGTCGGGGATCGATTGATGAAGGTCGATCAAATTGACTTTTAATTTCACGGTCAAGGAAAATGCCTAATAATCTAATAATTTTGTTTGTTCTGGTCAATCAGTGAATAGTTAGCTGTTTCTTGTTGAAAACATCAAGGGCATGTGTATTAATCACCTTCAAACTTTCATAACTCAATAAAACAATTATTAATCATTTTTAGACAAAAAAAATCAAGAAAATGTTTTTTATAAATAATTTTTTTTTGGAAATAATTAATTTATTATTAGTAAGAAAATTTTGTTTAATTTAGTTGTATGTTTGGTATTTATACTACAACTCCAACATTAGCATCTTTTTGGATATTTATTTTTGTAAAAAAATTAATAAATACGGTTCTGTTTAAAGCAAACAATTAATTTTGATTTTAGAATTATAATACCATAATTTTGTAAATACTGTATCTAATATTTACAGAAAAAATCAAATTTTATTAAATTTTTTTGTATGTTCGGTACTTATACAGCAACTCCAACACTGGCAATTTTAGAGCAAAATTTCTTTTTGTAAAAAAATACTACGGTTCTGTTAAAGACAAAAAATGACCTTTGTTCTAGAATTATCTTCCCTGTTGAATAATAAAACGCGACTTCCGTTTTCGGATTTTTGCTCGGCTGCTCATCTGTAAATAATTAACTCCGGAATTTGTTAACTATGGGCATAAATATTTAACGTTATCCCACACACTATTATAGTGAACGAAATTTTAAATTAATTACTAATACTGAAAGTAAAACGACCTTCTCTTTACCTTCATCAACCAATTTTTCTATTTTTGAGTAAATATTTTGCCTGTATTAATCACATCATCACAATTCCTTCCAATTCAAAATCATCATCATCACAATTCGCAAAGTAAATATGTTTATATATTATTTGTTTGTACATATAACAACTAATACTAGTTTATAAATATTTATCCGCTTATCTAACAACAATTTGTTCATTTAGTAAGTTTAGTTTAGTTTATGTGTATGTGAGGGTTTGGTTGTAGGTTAGGGTCCCAGTTCTAGGTCCAATTTCGAATCGGCGCCGCACGTGCGTAGGTAATTGGTGTAATTGCTACTTACCACCCGCCTAGACCGGCGGCTTGACTGGCATCTGCAGTAAAGGGATATTCTCCTCCGCAGGGTGTTTGATGCTCACCATTGCCGTGGGTTTAGCCGTACCATTCCGTGTGGGAGATCGTAAAGTCACTGAAGTGGATGTGGATGTTGATGTTGATTTTAGTGGTGGTAGTGTTGCCGCCCCATTGGTCCTGACTATTTTCGGTTGTGATTGTGGGTGTGATTTTGCCTTGGGTTGTGTAGGAACTTCTCGGATCAACCAATATGTCGTCATTTTACCTTTACCCTATTTTTTATTAAAAAAAAAACAGAAAAGACGAAAAAATCAGTCATAAATTATTCATATGATGATAGTGATTTAATGGACTCCAACACCCACCTTGATATCGATCTCCCCACGACACTCCAACTGAAACCCGGCGGGAGAGGATTCATCCAGGACTTTTTTCGTATCCGCACTAACGTGGATCTTAAGCGGCAACCCATTAGACTCCATACGTGAGGCAGTATTAACCGTATCACCGAACAAACAGTACCGCGGCATTTTTAACCCCACCACACCCGCAACGCAAGACCCTGTATGCATTCCTATGCGTAGTTTAAGTGGATCATTTGGTCTATGGCGGATTTTGAATTCTTTAACAGTCTCCATTAGTTTTAAGGACATTCGTGCGATTTCCGCCGCGTGTCGATTTTCGTTACGTTCCGGAAGACCGGAAACTACCAGATAGGCGTCGCCTATTGTTTCCACCTTAGGGAAAAACACACAAAAATAATATTTACACAACCCCGTGGCGAAAAAAAGTGTTTTTCTAACCTTGTAAACATTAAAATCCCCTATGACCTCATCGAAGGTCGTGTAGAGGTCATTGAGGAGATCAACAACTTCCAGTGGCGTGCTAGCTGCTGACAACTTGGTGAATTCTACAATATCACTGAAACAAATCGTGACCTGGTCGAAAGTTTCCGCAATCACTGTCTGACCACTGATCAATTGTGATGCGACACTCTTCGGGAGGAGTTGATAGAGTAAATCTTCACATTTTTTCTTCTCGCTGAGGAAATCATTGGTGCGGTCCATTACGAGTGCTTCTAGGTTATTGGCGTAGAGTTCCATACGATTGAGGAGATTATCCACTAGGTTACCTTTGTTGTTTCGGTTTAATTCGCGTATCATGTTTTTGAGCTTGCCGAAATCGGGTCGTTGCTCAGCATCCTCCGCCCAGCACTCTTTCATGAGATCAGTGAGTTTGTTATCTTTATCTTCTGCACCAAGATGGGGGCGTAGAGGTTCTTGGTCGGGACGCATTTTTACTTTGTCAACTATTTCTGTAATCAAAGTATAGGACAATGTTTTATGCGGGTTTTTGAGTGAAATTGGTTAATAACAATTGCAAAAAGTACCTCAAATTACATAGGCACAATGATTTTTAACGTTTCACAGCTTTAGAGTGATAAAAACTGTTAAATTTTGTGTGTTTTCTGAAGAACTTGTTGAAATTGTTTCAAATTTCATGATTTTTGTTTTCAAATTGATTATTTTATGGACAATTTAAGGAAATTTTTAAATATTTTGTTAAATAATTATAACTGATAGGACCTACAGACTGAAAATTTCAACAATTACAAAAAATGCAAAAATTGCAAAAGAAAAATGATTTTTAATGTTCTACTAGTCCATAACTGAAAAAAGAATTAAAATTTAAGTATTTTATAAATATCTAGTTAAAATTGTTAATAATTTTCTGATTTGTCTTTCTTTTTCTTTCTTTTCTAATCAGATTATACATTTATAAAGCTTTTTTGGTTATTAGTGTCATCTTTTATGAGATATCAATAAAATTTCATTTTCTTTTAAAAAATTTTGATTTCTGTTATTTTCTCTCAAATTAATTTTAAAAAATGAAATTTTACGATACGCAGGAGTCTAACACTAATAACCACTGCATGTGGTTCATGTTATTAACTCTTGCCGCCCCCGAGAGCCGCATGAATACCCCCTTAGCGATAATTCCAGCGTATTGCGTATATATACTAAATGAATCACCCAATTCACACTCCACTTCTTTTTATGTCCCTTTTTCTTTCCCTCCTTCGCGCTAAAGGTTAGTATTATACGGTCAGTAGGTGAAGTGAACAATATAATATGTAATGAATTCGGTTCCCCGTTCGCGCTTCCGTCCCTCCATCGGATTTTCAATGTTAACTGCATGCTCGTGTGTCGCTGGGAAAATTTAACGCTTTGCATAAATCGATTGTCGGACGCCTGGGCGACAGCTCGACAAGCCGAACGGGAAGATGGAAGGAAGGGTCAGGATTGGATTATGCCCGAGGAAAAATTGCACGAGGGCGAAGTGAAGAGCGGGTTCTGCGGCGATTGGGAAACGTCTCCATTCCACTCGAGTTCGCTTGCCGTCCTGTTGAATGCAGACGGGACGCGCGTGTTGCCAACTTAAACGTGTTATTTTCGCGTTTTCCACATCTCATCGATTTGCCAATGCGTCCTCACGTGGAGGGATGTAATTTTACGCGTTGTAAACATACTGAATGTTACAATATCAACATCAATTTATTATAAAATCATATTTTTAGTTGTATTTTGTAAAAAAAACTGTCAAGTGTCATATTTTTAACCTCAAAATGGGCAGAATTTTAGTTTAAACGTAGTAGAATCATTAAAACACACTAAACGCAAACATATGTTGTATCTTTGTGCACAAAGTGATACCTTTAATCATTCAAATAACAAAAAAATTGTTTTGATGTTGTAATATCAGTATATTGTTGTTTTCCGGATAATTTAACCTCAAAATTGAGTTATCCTCACCAGTAAACACCATTATATACAATTATTAAATAAAATACATTGTAAACATACTGAATGTTACAATATTAACCTAAATATTTCATAAAATAAGGCTTTTCAGTTATATTTAGTCAAAAAAACGTCAATTTATACTTTTAACCTCAAAATTTTAGTTTTATAAATTACGAGTACCTTAAGGTTTTATTAACCTCAAAATTAAGTTAAACATCATTTTGCACAATTTTTAACAAAAATACATAAAATTTTTCTTCCCCGAGTTATTATCTAATTAAATAGAATTCTCACCGGAAATGAAAACATTTTTCGCGTCCGCTTAATAAAACATTTAATTGCAAGTTCGAATGTGCTTTAAAAGATGTGCAATATGCGCTCGCTGCACACTGCGCGCTAAATTAATTTTGTTTTCGAGTTTATCGTTGTAATGCTTTACATCGGCTTTCGTTAGCGCCCGGCAGCCGGTGCAACTTGAGCGTGAATATTGCAACGAGCTCGACGATAAAACCGACCGACAACGATGTACTACCACCGGCATCGACAGCAAACTCAACCCTTGTCCATGAAAGAGGTTATGACAATTTTATTTTAGTTTTCTATCGCACAAAACAACGAAAACAAAGACATTAGACGCGTATTTTATGTCATCTTAAAGTTTTCCTTTTCTAAACGGTTTTCTTCGACATTGAACGCAAGTTTTGTGAATGTAAAAGTTTTATAATGTCATTTTAACGCACACACACAGCTTGTTTTTATTTTTATTTATTTTTGTTGTGTAATTTAAGATGATGTGCTCGATCTTCCTTACAGTAAGTAATGTGTTAGTGGAAAATGTAATAGTTTCCTGTATAAAACGCAAAAAAATCGTAAAAAACTATTTTTATTAAAAGTTTGTTTTTCGTTTCGTGTCGCGCACACTTTTTTAATGATTTCCTGATAAAAGCCCAGCGGAAAACCGATAGCACGATAGGAGAATATGTGTTTGGCGAACGTGATCACTGATGAGACACGTGCGAGCAATTTTTATCTGAGCACACGGAAAAATTATATTTTCATGACACAAGTTTCCAATTAAATGAATTCCAATGAATGCTTTTACATACATTCATTCTTTTGATGCTTTATTCGCAGAGTAAGTTTCTTGTTGGAAATCTTGCCGGGTTTCTATGGCAGCCGGTCGTGAAGTAATCCGTAACGAGCCGGATTTTTCCCGCTCGACGTCGATTTGCAAAGCGAAAAAACACACACAACGAGAAAAAAATATATAAAGAAAGGGAACTAACGCATATGCTGCGGCCTCATATTTAATCATCATCGGTTTAATGTACACTTCGGGTATACTCAGGAAGTGGAGAAATATTTCGGTCGTAAACATGCTGTGTATTTTTTTGTTGCGTTTTTTGCTTTGTTTCTCGTGAAATGCGTGAAAATATGATGCAATATTAAAATGAATGTTTCCCTAGTGAAGAAAAAGATGCTTCGCGAGGGAATTGAGATAATGAAGAGCGCGGTTTGGCGTGGAATTAAAAATTAACTTAATTACTAAGTGCTTATACTTAAAATGTTAAAATGGCGGATTTAGACATTTTAATGAGCTTTAACTTTTGTTTATGAGTAATATAAGCCCAGGTTTATAATTATTTTAGTTAATATTTAGAAATTTCATAAAATTATTCATTAAATAGTAAATTTTAAGATAAAATTTGTAATATTATAAACAATTAGAACAAATTTTTCATAAAACACTAAAATTTTAGTTGTTTTTACTGTGTAGAAGCCATAAAATATAAAAAAGTTTCTTTTTTAAGTTTTTGCACATTTATTATTATTGTTGCAATTTTCAGTCTGTAGAAAGTTCCTATTATAATTATTTTACGTATTGTTCAGAAATTCCAGTTAAAAAATAACAAAAAGGTAAAATCCATATAATTTTAAACAATTACAGTTAGTTATTCATGAAACAATCAAATCTTCACTGTTTTTCTGCTCAAAAGCAGTAAAATATAAAAATTCTTTCATTCTCTGGATTTTTTTTGCACATTTCCGTTTTAATTATTTTACGTAATATGTAAAAACTTCATAAAATTATTCATACTTGTAAAATAATGAACTTTAAGATAAAATTACATTATTTCTAGCAATTACAACTAATTCATTCTAAAGCATGAGAATTTTAACTGTTTTTACAACTCCAGAGCTTTTTAACTTTAAAAACCTCTTTTCCTTTGTAATTTTTGCACTTTCATTGTTATTGTTGCAATTTTCAGTCCGTAGGTACTTTCCCCAATCGATATCAGCGTAGTTTTTTCTCCTATCACATACATACACATCCACCGCACGCCCGGAACGCCGTGAAACGGAATGTTTTGTTATCGCAGGACGGCGTGTTTAACGATTCAATATTTGCATTCGCCAATCGAGCAATCGGAGCAATCGCAGCCATTCCGAGTCAATCACAATTCTCTTGTTTCAACAGTCGATACAATCGATTCTGATAAGAATACTCTCACATGATAAAACTAAATATATAATTTACTAATTAAGTTATAAATTTGTGTGCTTTTTGCGTCGTTATTCCTGTATATACAAGTAATACCTACACAGAGATTAATTTTAGTTAAAAAACTTAAAAAGTCGAGAGATGAAAAGTATCATCTTTCGGTGAAAGACAGATTGAGTTCCTATGGAATAAGGGAAGCAACGTTAATTACGGCCTGGGTCGAGAGATTGATTTCACATTTCATATTTCATCATTTGGCAAAGTAAAGCGAAAGTTTGATCAGCGAAAAAACGTAATTAACGAGTAACCGTAACGAACTTCGTCATCAAATCAACAATTAATGAACCTATACGCAAATATTTATCGTCTGCCATGGGTTGCAGTAATTAATTTAGGCAATTTATCGTTATAAATCAAAAATTTCTATTTTTACACAATTTTTTTTCTTTTTTTCGGAATTTTTCCTCATAAAATGACTATAAATCTAAGTTAATAACATAATTTATTATAATTACTAAATATTCGTAAAATCCACCAACAATTCACCTATATTTCCTCCGAGTAATAGTATTTACGGGTAGTTTTTAGGGCGCATTGCATAAATAGTTGCGTGTGAACTCTCGCGGCGTTCGCGTGATGCACACAAAGTGTATTCCATTGAAATCATGAATGAACCACCAACTATTCGATGCATATTTGTATTTTATGTAAATTTCGAACTTGTCACCCACTAAAATGATTGAAGAGAACGTGTAAAGCAAAAAAATCACAAATCATTTCAAAACTAAAACAAAAAAAAAACACAAAAAAATATTTTTGCATGTTTAACATACTCATTTGTCTGTAGCGATCCTCAAGGAAAGCATTGCAGTAGTCACAGTTGAGTGTACAATGCGGGCGACGAATCTCCAACAGCGGGCTGACTGCCCGCCGCGGCGAGGTGGAGGTGCCGACTTCACGCCCGGCGCCTCCACCAGCATCAGTCGGTAGCGACAGCGACATTTAACTCAATTTAAAACTTTCAACTGCTTTAATTTATATAGAAAATCGTAATAATTAAAGTTTAATTATTACTCGTTTATGTACATAAATGTTTAGAGTTTATAATTTATTTTGTTGAGCTTTTTTGGTTTGAAATTTTCGTTTGATGTTAACTTGCCGGCGTTTGCGAACTAAATGCGCGCACTCTTCACGCCTGGCAGGAACACGCGTGTTCACGCGATCGTCTCACTATTCACACTGCGATCCGCAATCGATGCGATCCTGCGCCTGCCGTTCGCTTCCCGGCGCCTCCACCTCCACTTCCAACACGTTTTTCTCGATTTTTCGTGTGTTATACGCAAAAAACAAATGTAAAAAATTTAAATATATAATTTCTATATTTATATTTATATATTTATAGAATTTATTTTAATTTTTTTCATCTGATTTCATTGATTTTCTAAATTAAGCGCTTTATTCATTCAGTAAACATCAAAATCAACCCGTGGATAATCAAGCCGTGGTATTAATTAATCCTAACTTCATAGACGTGTCTCTAATTCACTCCGCAGACTATTCTACGATTGTTAGCGTCACGTCGTGTCCCCAGACTGTCGTTTTTGTCTGTCATTCAAACTACGATAACGAGAAAATAGTTTTAGTTTGGTAAAGTTTCGATTAATAAAAAGCAAAAACAACCGCGGAACTTTTGCGGATATAGCCAAGATGATTGTCTTAAATTATGCCCAAAGTTCCACAGCGCACAGAATAATAATTAAGTCGATGAACCGCGCAAGTTTTAAATGGAAAACTTGTTTTTTGCTTCTATTAGGAATTAGAAATTAAGCTGCGTAAATATTTGATATAAACCCGTCTAAAATAAATGCGTTATTTTGTGAGGAACCCACGTCAAATATTCATCACTTTGACCTACATTCACGCAGCGCAATTAAAAATTAATTCCTTGAGAAAATCCACCCTTAATAACACATAACAGCAACGCAAAAAATAATAATTAAAAAAATCATAATTAATTTTTATCGCTTAAGTAAAGTAAAATAAAGTTAAAGTTTTGCTTTGATTTTGATTTTTTTTTTCTTCGTGAAGTAAGCATGAATATTGAAAGCGTTTTCATGTTTTTTTTTTGTTATTCACGTCTTGCGGATCAACGTTTCCGCGCTGAATTCAATTTCAGCATCGCGCACATTGATCTCGAGCGAAATTGCCTATTTCGTTTTTTCGCGGCGCCACAACGCTCAACATACACCGACGAGTATGTCTCGTGTCATGTCAATGATTCTCCAAACGTGTTTCACCTTCACTTTTATTTCGAGACATGCTGCGTCAAGAAATCGAAAGCTTAACGCAAGAGAAAAACTCGAAGGTAAAGTGAGCAGTCGTAGATATCGATCTTTTTTTTTGTCAGTGCTGAATATTCAAACGATGAAACTTTTTTTTCACGCAGCTGTCAAGGATCATGTAAGAAAACAGAGTGGTTGATACACCCACCACTTGATTTTATATTTATTATACGCATCTAGGTAATATCAGACCGTGAAAGAAGAGTAACAGACAATTTTGCATTATTAAACATACTTTTTGTACGTTTACGTGTTATATCATACGAAATATCCTGACAGGAATTAATTTTAGCAAATTGCGTTTAAGTAGATGTCATGTTAATGATAAATCTAACCTAGATGAGTCATGGAATAATATGCAACCAAGTATGCATGACAAGTTGCCTAAACATACACCTATATACCTAATGATTCTATAGTGAATAAACTTTAAATTAGCTGGTGTAGCTCGCCGAAAAGTTAGAAACACAAAACTAGTCTTGTTGTTTGTTTAAACTATACTCAGCTACACAAAGCGACAAATTGCATTGCATGATACTCGCGCGTTTCCATATTCCGTGAGTTCAAAACTTAATAAATTAAAGCACTCACCTTTAGCAGTAAAAGCTTCTCGAAGGTAAAACGGTCCTTTCCGTTCGATAATTTCATGCAGAATAATTCCAAACGAGTAGACATCACCTTTCTTTACCAAATCGGGTTGCGGCGCCACTTTTAACCTCAAAATTTCCGGTGAAGTCCAAAGTAATTCTAAAATTTTCCAAAACAACACAAAAAATTAAATTTAATCAAAAAATTTTAAAACTTATTACTTTTACATCTTTCCTCTTCATCACTAGGCACTTTCCCATACATCCTGATAAAATCAAGACCGAAATCTGCGAGTTTAACGCCAAAATGGCTGTCGATCAAACAATTCGTCGATTTTAACGCTCCATGCGTAATATCATTGCTATGCAAGTAGTGCATGCCTAAGACAATATCATTTGTAAGCGAAAGTTGGAACACTGCATCAAAAACAATCCCTTCATCCTTCAGAACATCCAAAAGTGACCCGCGCTGGCAATGCTCAGTGATCAAACAAGTGTGGTCGAGTTCCAAACAAGCTCCGTAGAACTTTACCAAACTCGGATGTGAAAGATCTCGCATTCTTTTCAGTCTCACACGCCGATTTCTATCCAACTCAATCTTTGTCGGCGGATGAAAATATTTCACAATCACATCATTCATGTTAAACTGAGCTACTTCATATCCTTTGTTATCGTTTCTCTGTGAGATGAACGATTGTGTATGATTTTCCATTTCCGGCGGTTTTACAGACATGCGTGGTTGTTGAGTCTGCGCCAATTCATGACTGTGAATCATCCAGTTATCGGCAGCCAGGTCTAATTCTGCTTGGTATTTTTTATACATTCTGTATCCGAATGCAAAAACTGTCACGAGGAGACACATGATGCAGATAATTATCCATAATTGCACGTTTACTACAAAAATAAACATTACATTAAATATTTTTAGGTTAAATTTTAAATTTTGAGGTTATATTTCCAAACCTGCACATTTTGAGTCATCATAGCCACATTCTGGAGTATCCGGTGGTGGTCTGCCAGCTACCCATTTAATATTCTTAATAAAATGCATGCGTTTATTCAATGTGCTATAATTTGCAACTATATCTAATTTATCGTCATCTCCAAGTTGTAATAATGCATAACTAGCAACTCTTTGGCCATTACAATTCATTATAACCTCTTCTCCGCGTTTTCCTGTGAAACGCCTTCCGTACATGTTACTAACGACATCTACACCTCTTAAAGACAGCTCATTCCAGTCTTCTACTGATAAAAAGTTCTTAATCGCTGATAAATATAATAGAAAGCCGTCATATATTCCATCCAGATAAGCTTCACCTGGTTTTGACAAAATAATCCCCTTTTCGTCCTCTTTTTCCTCTTTTTCTGAGTTTTTTGTTTGCTGCAGCGCATTTTGTGCTTCAATCATTGGAGTAAAAGTTAATAATGACCTATAAGCCCTTTTTGCTCGTTCATTAGTAACATCGTCATCACTAGCGTTGTACCAAGGTTGAGAGCCACTAAAATTTGATGTTTTTTGTTGAAATTTTGTTATAATATTTATATTATGATGTTTTTACTTGTTGTACATGTCAAAGTTTAGAAAGACATATTCTCCACTTCCGGTCATTCCTAATTTCTCCGCTTCAATGAGTACTTTTCGGGTGTTGGCATGGCTCATACACATTACAATAACTGTATATTATTTCACAAAGAAGAAGTATTAGATGAGTATAAATTGTGAGTAGGTTGTATTTACCTACTTCCGAATTGAGTGCCCACTGTTTTAGTGAGGTACTCTTCGTATGTGATTTTCTGGAGGTAAATATCACCGTCGTGGTAGTTTACATCAGGGATTTCGTTTTTTACTACGCCGATGACTGTTTTCATTAAAAGTTGACAACTTTGGTCGCCTCCTACTTCATTTTGGTCGTATTTTTCGTACATTAACGCTATTTGCTTCCATTTATATCTGTTTTAATTTTAAAAAATAATGTTTTAAAAGTTTATTCGAGTTGTGGTTGATTATAATTACCTTTCAAGTATTAAATAAAAGAATTCGCTGAAAGATTGATAGTCGGCGATGCCTGCATTAATAAGCATGAAGAATTCTTTGTCGCAGCTTGTTTTCTCGGAGACAAAGTCAAAAGAAAATCCTCCTGCTGTAATAAGTGGTGTTCCATGACTTCCAAGGAACTTTACTATCCTTCCAGTACTTGCTATAACAAAATATTTGTTTTTTAGTGAAAAATAAACTTAAAATGTAATATGCAACCAAGTATGCACATTATTGCAATGAAAACTAATAAGTAAACATGCAATTTGATATTTACTTGAAGTTTTCAACGTTTGCAATCGGAAACTAGTGGAACTCGAGCTAAAATCAACTAAACTTTTGCAGATTTAATTAATTTCCGAGTAAATTAAGTAGATTCTGCGTATTTTTATGTTTTTCTTGACTTTTAAGACAAATTTTCCAAAGGTTTTAAAGAAAATTAGGTTCTAAATTACATTTTATAGCAAATTTTGTGTTTTAATTCACTAATTTGCCAGTTTTAAAAAAAATGGCAAACAAAACTATTTAAAAAATAAATAAATCAGTACAATATAAGCAAGATAACAAATTTTTAATGTGATATGCAACCATACATACATGTAAACACTAGAAAAACATCATAACCTCAATAATACAGTTTAATATTAACTAGTGTTCAGTTATTTGCAATTAAACTTTAACATGCATGAAATCAATAAATTATTTTATCACTATAATAAATTACACACTTTTAAAGTCTATAGCAAGTCACAAAAACTAACCACGACGTAAAATTATTAAAAATATCACCATTCATTATTATCTTTCACATTATTATCGCAACACAAATAGATAAAACAAATAAAAAAAGACAACGTGATTCTATTATGCAATTCGCAGTAGGTCGAAATGCTTTGTGATAAAGATAATGACACCAAGATAACTGTCTAATCAATTCGTCATCCTCTACTTTATTAAATATCAAATAAATTTTGTGTAAATTAAATGGTTTTCTATGTTTGTGTAATACAATTCCACGTATCCAATCTCAGTGGTATTTTCCCAAATTAACCAACATACAAACATTAATGCAATATTAATTATTATCTTTACCTAAGTATACATTTACGTCAACACTCATGTTTTTTCTATATACTCAGGTATAAATATATTTTGTAATTGAATGAAACATCCTAATCGAGTCGATTATCAGATGTAGTTGAGTAATTGCCGCGCTTTTAAGTTTCTATTATTAGAAAAAGGTCGAAAACAATGCGATGACGTGGCGGCTACTTGCAAATCTGTGATTGTGATGAAAATTACAAGTGCACGCACACTCGCTCGCGTGTTGTTTGCGAACTCTTGTGCGCGCCCCGGTTCATTAGCCACTTGCGTCAGTAATTAATTACTCGAGAAACTTTAGGCATTTTTGTTTACTGCACTAGCAATTAGATGATAAGCAATTAGTAGCTTCTTATGCAAGCAGAGGAAAGCTTTCCGAGTGATTACAAAATGGCCGACTTACCTAAGCTGTAATCGCAAATAGGGCCGAAAATAACATGTGCTGAGAATTGGCTGTAAGCATCCACGGTTCCGATAGTTGCGTGGGCTTGCTCACATTGATCATCAAAGATTTTATAAGTGACATTTAGTCTACTGGGTAAGAAATTATTCCGTCTAGCGTGATCTTCAACTTGTTGTAACGCCAACAACGCCTAAAATCAAAAATTCCCAAAAGTAATTTTTTAAAATATTTTTATAAAAACTGATTACCTCTGGAGCATTTACTATATAATTAGTATTATTTGGTAGTATTACAGCTACTCTAAGATGACACCCGGTATGATCACACAAATATGCTTTGGTATCTTCATCTCCCGAGTCCGGACGACAACTTTTTACTACACGCGGACAATTTTCTGTACTCCATGCCCGTAGAGTACACTGTGACCTCAGTGGGAACAAGATCAGCATGCAGATGATCAACCAAATCGAAGACATTCCTCTTTCGCACTTTTCACAGCTCTCACTTCATGTTTTTCAACATTCTTTGACCGCAATATCAGTGTATACGTAATTGTTGCCGTACTGATGGTTGATAGGCATCTGCCGCACGTTCTAGGACAATAATTATTGCGCGTATATTATCTATAGATCTGATAATGACTCTCGACACACATAAATACGATACAAGCGTACACTTATCATTATTATAAAGGTGTTTGTGGTTCTTTCGCAATTCGGTGTTTTAACGGTGAATAACGTGAATGAATGTTTTCACGTGAGTGGATTAGCAGAGACTGATGTGGAAATTTGTAATTTTCTTGGTTAAACATTTCCGGAGAGTTCAAGGGGTGAAATAAAAGGAAAATCCATTTATTGAGTGCATGTAATTTGATGCTGAGCGCTCCACTTGTGGAAAAAGTAAATAGTTTAGCCTTTTGTGTATATTTTAAGGCATGATTGATTACTAAATCATCAATTAAGTGTTTTATTTTGTGTTTTGTTGATTTTCTAGGGTTTATTGTTGTGAAACTTTAAACAATATGTTTACTTGTTGTTTTTGTTATATTTTATGGTTTTGCGTTATTCGGAACTTGGTTTGATAAACACTCTGTATCTTGAAAACTAATTGCAGTGGAGTAGTTTTCTCAACTGATTCTTGAAGATAAAGAGTTTCTTCACATATTACGTTTCAGAAATTTTTTTTAAATATACAGAAAATTGTCTTAAAATAAGAAATTGTTGCAATAAGTTTGCAACTTGTATTACATTTAAAAAATTGGTTTTATGTTTTGTTTGTAAGTAATTTTTATATGTTTTCAATTAAATTCTGCAGCTATATATTTCATTTTCAGAATGACGTATCAAAAAATACTATGTTCTATTGTTAATTCATCGAAAAAGCGATTTTATTTGAAAATATTGCATATTCCCTACATCTGGTTGCTATTAGAATTTTGAGACAGGCAACCACATCTACAAATATACTTATACTACAACTATACATTCTGACAATAAATTAATTTTAGTTTATAAAAATACTAATTCTTGTCTCAGAAATCAATGAAGTAAACTATAAAAGACAGAATTTGTGTTTTTTTTATTGTTGTTTATAAAGATCTAGCTTGAATGCGCCCAGTACGCAACCGCAAGCAACGTCAATCAATCGTGTAACACCGGTTGGGCGAACTTCCACGAATCCTCCATAGTCGCCCATAACACTAGGCACACTAGGGTTAGGTTCGTAATGGAGTATTGGTTCGCCAAATAAAAGTCGTATCAGTGATTTATTTTCGTCAGCGGCAAATAAATGCCGCTCGCGCCGGCCTGCTAAGAACACGATCGAGAAGTTCACGTCGCGCGAAGAACAAAAGCGCATCGCAATCGCCGTTGCACACTCACAAATCACGGCAGTCATTGGAATGTTCAAATGTGTGCTGGTGACATTTGATTAAAATGAGTCGTCATGAAGGTAAGTATTTCTTTTAGTTTCAAATTCCCCAAAATTTCTGTATAAAAATTATAAATGTATTGTATTCCGGACATTATACCCTATGTATAAATTTATTACAATGGTTTATGATGCAATAAACCATATTTTTGTATTTTTCAGGTGTGAGTTGTGATTCCTGCTTGAAGGGCAACTTCCGCGGCCGGCGCTACAAGTGCCTCATTTGCTATGACTTTGATTTGTGTGACACTTGCTATGAGACTGGAGCAACCAATACTCGGCACACCACTGATCATCCAGTGCAGTGCATACTAACTAGGGCTGATTTTGGTACGCAAATCCGTATTTTTCATGTTTTGGGTTGAAAAAACCACTTTACCATGCTCAAAACATATTAATTTTGTTGCCTCTCACAATATTCTAATGAATTAATGTTTTCTTGGTAGATTTATTCTATGCTGGTGAAGCAATCACAAATGTAGATCAACCTCAAGCTTACACTTGTCCCTATTGCTCAAGAATGGGCTTTACTGATGCTACTCTACAAGAACACGTCACTGCTGATCATAGTGATATCTCTTATGAAGTAGTAAGTGTTTAAATATTAACAAAACAAACAAAAATATATATATATAATGATGATTTAGGTGTGTCCGGTGTGTGCGGCAATGCCAGGCGGCGATCCAAACTTCATGACCGACGATTTCGCGGGCCATCTTACAATGGAGCATCGCTCAGGCACGCGCGATTTAATCTCTCTTCTGGATGAACCTGGCGGTGGGTCTGGAGGCAGTGCACCACTTGTTCGACATAGTGGACGACGCATTGCGCACACTGGCCACCTGCCGAGCAGTCGTGGTGCACAATCGACGCGTCCTCGCCGTTCTAATATGCATTTTAGGTAAGATTTGTTGTATTAATCAATCGCTATCATTCAATCCTTCCGCATTCCTGCTGTTGAGTGTTGTTGACTATGCAATTCGCTCATGATTCACTCATATCTTCCCCGTCGCGTGCAGTATTTTTAGCACGACAGGTCTCAGTAGCTTATCGCCATCTTCTAGGGAGCCTGTCGACCCGATCGCCGAGCTGCTGTCGCAACTCTCCGGCGTGCGTCGATCGGCGAGTAATGCCACCAGTAGTACATCCAGTCAACTACAGCAACTTCAGATGCATCTACAGCTGGAACGTCAGCAGGTATCAGCGCGTCAACAGTTGGAGAGACTTCCACGTAGGCAGAATCAGAGTCAAACGACAAGCTTACGCGAGGCTGCTAGTTCCGCAAACACGAACTTTGGATACAGTTTGTTGATGAATCCGAATACTACTGCTGCGCAGCCGACGGCGTCTGCTCCGCCGGTACCTTCACCGCCTTCTAACTTTTTGTTGGAGGGTTTATTGGAGGAATTATCGCTGCAGTCATCCAACGATGCGAATTTCAGCGATCGCTATAACTTCGCTGATAATTTACTGGTTGGTACGATGAATTCGATGAAGAATTCGGTGCAGCAGTCACAAATTGGTGAGGATTTATCAGCGCAGATACAACAGCGATATGCGGCTACAGTGACGCCTACGCCTAGTGTGGAGCTGTCTTCGGCTAGCGGTAGCCGACCTACTTCGGCACAGGGACGAGTTTTACGTGGGCGAGCGCGTTCGGATGGTCATAATGCGATACGTCGTGCGGATGCGAATCGCGCCAGCTTGCAGGACTGCAAGAAAACGGAGAGTCCACCGAATAACACCGATGGCAGTGGGGGTGGTGGTGGTGGCATCACCCAGAGATAGTCTAGCAACATGCGCGAAGTGAAATCGAACAATTGTTGCAGTTTGAATTGCTAATTGTTGACTAGTTTAAAAATTGCTGCGCTGGTTGCCTGCGAAACACGCGCATCACATGATTGTGTGATTTGTGATACGATCGCGACGACGTCATGACGAGCAGTGATGATAACAAAATGTATGAGATGCCTAAACAAGAAACAAAAACGTATGTCTATAGTTTTGTCACAAAAATAACTTTCGAACTGTTGCTTTAATTGTCCATCTATATACTATATTGAATTACACTATACCAAAAATTTGAAGAAACGGAAAGTTTAACTCGTAAAGTGTCACAGGATTACTCACTACTGTATAATTTGTGTGTTACTCGCGCCAGGTGGGTTTCAGTGGCACTGCAGACATTACATTCAAGTACATGATCAATTATTATCAAGTAAAACACATTGGGTTTGTTTTTGTTTTGTTTTGAAAACATTAATTTTTAAGAGTCCTACAATAAATGCATTAAATGTTGTACGTGCCCAACGCAGATAACATGCATCATGTTCAACCCATGTGGAATTCAATTTACAACTGTTGCTATTTATTTATAAATAATTTTGTCTGGTGTATGTTTAGTTGCGTGTATATGGTGTATGATTGGTTGCCTATGCAATGTCAACTCCCTGTCTGGCCGAATTTACCCGATCGGAGGCGATTGCCCCGAATGAACTGTAAATGTTAATATTTATTTCGCAAAAAACATGTTTGCGCTTCAATTGTGCTGGCATTGATTGTCTCGTGGGGGTCTCAACCTCGGCAGACGGCCGTCGCAAGCTGGGCGATTTGGTAGGCCGCGTCGCCAGCTGCACCTGTCCGAACACCGCACAAGGAGCACCAGTGAAGTGCATGCAACATGGCGAAGATGGCGGACAAGGGACTCTTTTGTACACAGTAAGTTTTCTATCTCCTGCAATAATAGCGTCGTGCGCTGCGGACAACAACTGCATCAAGACGGCCGACCGTCTCTGCCGCCTCTTCGCAATAATCTCAAGGCAAGGTACGTTGCAGCGCGACTCTTGCGCGTGTCTCGAATTTCGGATGTTATTTGGGCAAAGCCAGCCAGTGATTGCAATGTCATTGTGCATTTTGTTGTGAATACTAATAAGTTTACGAAACAGTTGCGAAACGGTCCCGTTTGTCGTTGTCGCGCGGCGATTGTTTTGCTAATGATACAGTATAAACAGTTGCTTTTTTTTTATAGTCTGGGTTGTTTGTTTTAGATATCAACTGGACGAAAAGCGCGGTTCGTCCTGCAACAGTGGGATTATTCAGTGTGGCACAGCGCAGATTGATCCGGATGCAGCTGTCGATATGTTAAAACCGCACAACGAATGCAAAGATTGCTTGATCAGCGGCGATAATTCAAACCGGCGCACACTTTGCCATCAGAAGTGCCTCAATAGCATGCGTGGCGGCAAGTCTATTCACTCGAATCGTGCACAAAAGTGGGAAAAGTTGCGTGCCAAAATGGACTGGTGAGTAAAACTATTTAAAACTAATGTTTTTTGAGTTTGAAAGTAACTTCTATGACTCTATAGCCAACATCCTTCAACTTCTGATGTCACCAGTGCCTCCTCAGTTGAAGACGACTCCCTGGGCGCTGCAGATCTGAAACGCCACGCAAATACCTCATCATCCATGCAGCTAGATAAACAGTGGAATATTGATGCGCCTGAGTTTGTGCCGCGCACACGCTTCAACTCAACCAGCAATGCCGAGAAGCGCCTGTGTCCGTTTGCTGCCGGCGATGGTTTCTGCAAGTATCCGCCTGGCGAGTGCACCTACCTCCATGGTACTGTTTGCGACATGTGTGGCAAGCCGGCGCTGCATCCTTTCAACGAAGAGGCGCGCAAGAAGCACACGCAAGAGTGCATCAAACGTCACGAACGCGATATGGAACATGCGTTTGCTGTCGCGCGCTCTAAGGAGAAGATCTGCGGTATTTGCTTCGAGGTGATCATGCAGAAGAACACCGAGGAGCAGCGTTTTGGGATCTTACCGAGCTGCAATCACTGCTTTTGTCTCACCTGCATCAGGCGATGGAGGCAGTCGAAGCAATTCGAGAATAAAATCATCAGGTAACACTAAACTCACAACATATTTTGCTTAATTTTTGTTTGGCGTATGTTATAATATGTAAATTAATGTTTAGATCGTGCCCAGAGTGTCGTATACCATCCGACTTTGTGTGCCCGAGTGCATACTGGGTGGACACGAAGGAGGACAAGCAGAAGGTGATCGACAAATACAAGTCGGCGCTGGCGAAGAAGGATTGCAAGTACTTTCGTTTCGGACGGGGACACTGCCCGTTCGGTAACAAGTGCTTCTATCGGCACTGCTTGCAGAACGGCAAGCGTATCGATGTCGGCCCACCGCCATCCACAAACGGCGTGGGCGGCGGTGCCGAGGCACTCCTCGACTTCCCCAACAGCGTCGAGATCATACAGGTAAATATATTTGACGAATTCCGGCAGATCATGTTCTCGTTGATTTGAGAGCGCGCGCGACCGCCGCCGCCGCTTTGCATTAGCCTTTTTCGCCCGTCAGTTAGCATTTGCTTTCTTCTGTGATAATTATTGTTCAAAACAAGAGAAAAAATAAGCCGAGACACGCAACCTGCAACCACAAATACATTAATAGTAATAAAAATAAAACAAAAAATGATAAATGCAAAAGGACACAAACACATATTGAACTAATTTAGTGCTCTATCCAGTTAACGCATAATTATCATTTTTTTCAAATTAAAATATCTACTAAGTAGAATTATATTTATATAATATATATATATATATATATTTAAAGAGTGAAATGTACGCTATATATCAACGTGAAAAAAATAGAAAGAAGCGCAACACAATAGCCAACAATTAAAAGAAAGATAAGAAAGGTGCTTTACCAGTATATAATTTGTTTATTGATTGCCGTACTGAAGAATATTTAATGTGTGTTAAACTTAAACTGTGTTAATTGCTAGTCTGTTATATACATACCGAAAGCGCCGCTGCCCTTCGCAAATCGTTGGAATCCATGGCTCAAAATGACTGCAAAATTGAATATTTTGTACTACGATTCTCGAAAACTTGCTTTTGTCTTTGATGCAAAACATATCATGCCAGCGCGCGGTTTTCGAAGAGCAACGGCAGCCAGCAGTAGTCGAAACATTTAAATGTAACGTCGTTACTGCGAAAAAAATGTATACTTAAGTATGTTTAGTGCGTTTGTGTAGACGTAAAGTAGTGTTGGAAACAAGTGCTGTACTCCTAGTGAAGAAAATGCTTTAAATTTAAATTTACAACACTTGAGAGTTACATTTTTATTATAGATGTTTATATATATTACACACACTCTCTCACACAAACACTTACACATACTGACGGCTATTGTGTTGCGACAGGGTTGTTCGAATTGAAAACTGAAACCTTTTTGAGTGAGGTACTTTGAGTTTTTGTTAAAAAATTGAAATTGAAATGGTAGCTAAACACTAAACAATTTGATTTTGTTTCATTTCACTCAACTTCACTTAACGCCTTCATTACTTCATCAATTAGTATGTAGTATCTAGTCGTACGGTATCCGCACGTGCTTGTAGTGTTCTTGTTTCTTAACATTTTTCCCGACTGAACAATTAAAAACCCCTCATGAAACCATTCTCCCTTCTTATACCCACACTTAGTCCATTAGTCCAGCTTATATTGAATGTTGTCAAATGTGCTTACATTCATTCACTCTCCCAACTCAAACTCATATAACACCACATTTATGAATTAAATACCTTGTGATATGTAGATTGTATATGTAATAACGTGTTGTTTACATCCAACGGGGATTCCATCCGAGTTTTTTGAAAACAACAGCAGCTTTGCGGTTTCACTTCCTTATGTCGTCTCGTTGTACAAACCAAACGTGTGTGCTTCCAACGCAACCGAAATGTCGATTCTCTCAATTGTATTGTACTGCCTGCCTCTCGTTGCGTTTATCATTTGTAACGTTTTATTACTTTTGGATGTAAACAATGTGCCTTAGTGTATTTTAACAGACGTACTAACTCATTAATTAATTGATTGACTCTGAAAATTATTGGAAAATGTGACGCTCGTCGAATGTGGATTATGATTCGTTTTGTTTGGTAGTTAGAGTTTGTTACATGTTACAATAACCATAGCTTACGATTCTTACGTGTTGTGCACGTTTTCGGGAGATGATCATTTCGTTTGGGAATCTTCTGGAAGCGCGTAGATAAAATAGTTTTGTCTGTAACTTAATGAACAAATTACCATTTGATATGGTGAATGAACGATTGCTTTTAGTTATCAGCTTAAGATACAAGTTTCTCTTTTTAATCTCTTTAATCTCCAACTATACATTTAACATATTAACATTTCTACGCTTCTTGTAAACGTGTGCACGTTTTTCAATCAACTTTTCTAGCTTAGATCTTCACCGTTTTACATTTTACATAAGTATTGTATGCGAAGCTTATTTTATGTATTTTTGTTACTTTAATTTATTTTAATGTTCATTTGAAAATCACCCGGTGACCCCACAAAACATTGCCGAAGTTCAGAATTGATTCACGAAAAGTCTCGAGACGAAATCAGTTGATTGTAATCAGCGCTATACATTTTCAGAGTTTGCTGGCCGCGATCGATGTGGCCGAGGACGATGACGAATCAAACATTTTTTTTGAAGTTTTCGAAGATTACTGTCTCCTGGACGCGATGTTTAACTTGCTATCAACGGACACTGACTAAACACACTTCCAATACACTAGAAATGAATACTTAGGAATCAAAAAATTGAAACTAAAACTTGAAAGACTTGATCAAATTTAACGCAAAAATAATTACGCTTCTGGGGAAAGGGTGTCGAATAAAACAAATGAATTTTTACTTGTTTTCTTTTTTACTTTTACGTTTATTATATTTTTTACTTTATATGGTTTAAAATGTATCATTAACACGTAGAAATGTAAAAAAAAAACATTATTATCAGCTGTGATGTATGAGTAGCACTCAAGTAGAAATTAGGGCCTACCGATTTATTGATTTCATGTGCGCGTACATGGTGTTCATTGTTTTAAGCGCTCATTGTTAAGTCGATTGTTCCGGCGCAATTTGCGCGAAAGGCACCGAGTTTATGTGATAAATTTGAGTATTTTCAATTGTTCTTTTTTATAAATCAGGCGTTTGCGATGCATGTCTTTTTTCTTTATTGATTTCGCAAGGCACCATGTATATGCTTTTCTTACGTTTGGTAGATGAAAACGCGTTTAACAAGAGTGCAGCGCGAACCAGTAACTATTGCTCATAATCGTAATAACAATTTAATACAAATAAAAAATACAACAATTTTTCATTACGAATACCACTTATACATAAAGAAAAAACACATACAAAACATACAAGAAATTTATATTATATATATATTATATATATACATATATTATTGTATCATTAGATTTACCTATATATATATTTGAGACAAATATCTATTTGTACTGCTCGATTATGAAAATAATTATGAATACTATGAGAAACAAACCAATAAACAACGCAACGGAACAAAAGCAACCAAAACCTACCAAATACCAATAAACCACACACGTAGTTGACGCCTAGTTGATGAGGGTGGAGATTTGAGAATATTGTGAATTTTGTATACGTTTAGAGTTTAAATTTATGCGGCCGGCGGGGCGGTGAGCGCGCCACCAGTCCAGACTGAATTCGAAAAGCAATTTGACGAAAAATAAAAACGTTTAAAGATAAATATCACGCAATACTTGCTTTAGTCGCCTCTCGTTTTCCCTCGGGAGCGCACACGCCGCCGCCGGCCGACCGTCGCTTATCGATGTCACAACTACCATTTTTGATCCTTGATGAATACTTACGAACAAATGTTGATGAGTAAGACACGCTGGCAGAGGGAAGCTCTAAGTAATCATAACGTAATGTCAATGTAAAATGTATATTCGATGATATAATGATATAGTGATTTCTAATAAGATTTGTGCTAATATTAAATTTTATATTTTTCAAATGTACTTATGTGGTGCATTCGTAATAAAATATATGAATACGACTCGATTTGGTTTATTGGTTTACCTACCTGAATAAATAATATAACAATTATTTAGATATCTTTTGTCAAGGTCATCTTTTCATCAAATTGTAAGTATTAAAGTTCGTTTTATGACTTAGTTTTGTGATTTTCACACGCGGAAACCATAAAAATTGCATTTTTGTTTTTCCAGGCACTAATTCCTGTTTGTTCTTGGTACTGCTTTTAGGGTTCTAGCAACCGCGGCGACATGGTAGGATAACTGTGCTAGCATCAAATCAAAAATTACAATTTGTTTGCATTTACAGAAATAAAGTATCGTTTACAAGTAGGAAGGCTATACAAATGGCATTTTTGTGTTTGAAGTCATTTATTTTTGTTGCATAAACTTTATAGTAGCAACGTTTTGCTGTAGGTGTAACTTGGTTTGTACTGTCACACATTGATGGCGCTTGTATGGTCCATTTATTAAGTAGACGATTTATATTTCGGCTAGTCCGTTTTGCGTCTTGATATGGTGCACGTATTTTGTTTTTCTTCCTGTCTATTAATATTCGTATCCAAAATTTACGTATGTTGAATAATTGGATAATAAATATCAAGTGGCAAAACGGGGATTTTAGTCAGAAGATTGATTGAGAGCAAGTGTGATGCCAATTCTATTTTTTCTACCTGCACTCTATTTCCACGTTTAGGTTTTGAATTTGAACTTTTGTATTAGGTAATACAGTAGAGTCCGGTTATAATGACATCGAAGGGAATTGACAAACACGTCATAATAAGCGGACGTCATACAAAGCGTTTTGTGAAATGAAATCCCTTTTTTATGTAAATATGTACATATTCATACATATTAAATCAAAATCAAAATTGCACGTAATCAGCACATTATAACACATACAAGTGTATTTTTTACTTCAAGTAATCTGTAATTTTTTTCTGCTTTTGTTTTTTCATTTAATTAATTTTCTTGTGATTTTCGAAGCCTCTTCGGTTTCAAAACATTTGAATTGAACGATTGCTTAATGCGGTTCTTGTTTTTTAAAAAGCATTGAGATTGTCGAATGACCTACGCCAAATTCGGATTAATGGAAAATACGGATTAAGTCGTGGTCAAGGTACTGCTGTCCGAATGCTTATATTTATTATTTAAGCATTTGGTCTTTCCGATAGTAAATACATAAAAGTAATTTGACAATCATAAAAGAAATGTAGCAATAAATATAAAAGTTCGCCACGTGTCGAACGTCGTCGGGTATCAACGAACATTACCGGAGGTGTAAAGAATCATGTTGGTCAATATAACCGGACATAATCTGTTAAAAATGGGTCATAATAAGCGACATGTCACTGTAAGCGAAGTCATTATATCCGACTTTTTTTATACAGAATTTTATATGAAAACCAAACTTGGTAGTGTAGGTACGTCATAATAACCGGTTGGTCAATATAAGCGGAGTCATAATAAACGGATTCTACTGTATATGTTTTGTGTGAGTTCCACCGGCCACCAATATTTTCTTCTGATCTACTCTTTGTGCACAATTTCCTGCAATGACTGGTGCACCCTTTTTTTTTATATAATTTGTAATGTTTGATGGAATCTTGTGCACGACGCTTTAAGTTACTAGGGATTTTCCTTTGGCAATCGTGTGGGGGGTTCCATCGACCACACTAATAGTGACAAACAAGCGTATTCATTTATCGCGAGGAAACGCGAATTGCATGTATCATTCCAGTGCGCGCATCAATCGTGGAATTAACCAATATTGAGGAGTTTGTTAAATCAAGTGTATTGAAGTGAGCAACGCCAATTTCATTTTCAACAGACAGCTGTGAACATTTACTTTCATGTATTTGTATTTGTTACATTTAATAAGTTTGGTTTTCAAATTTCCAGGTATAACTTATTTGTTTTTATGATAAATCTGTATTCTGTGCATTTTTTTAAAAAAAGACCACTCTTTGCAGGGGTGACCGGATTTTTAAATTTTTGCTTCTTTATTGCTTCCGGCCCACCCTGCGGCTGCACTCCTTCTGCACCTAAGCCCCAGGATACTCAACCACCTGAACAATTTGTATGGTGGGGGATAATCCTACTGGTGGGAGAACTTTTTATGAGGACAATCTCATTATAAGGATTTGTGCACATGTTTCTATGTGTCCCCACTACTAGAAACGTCTTACAACTTAGAAATATTTTCCAAGTCCCTACCTGTACCTGAAATGATAGATGGGGTACATAAATACTAATAAGAGCCATAATGTCCTGTAATATTTCTTTATTAAAACACTTTATACATATGCAAATAAGTATAACAATAATTCAATAGTTAACACGCCTCTACAACAAATATAATAGAGGACAAGCTCACATTTTAAGGCACTTCTTTCGACTTAGCAAATCTGGCACATACCAAGTACCTAGGGTAAAAGAGGGTAATGGGGGTCACTTAAGGGAGAACTCAAATATAATTTAAATTATAAACAAAATACTTATTGCAATCGCTTATAAGCATTGTTTACTTAAATACCTATTATTTGAAATAATTTTCAGTCACTTTGACAATCAATTTTGGATATTATTAAAGTTTAAAAAAAAACAGATTTGACTCCCATTACACCGACATGCGGGTAATGGTGGTCACCCTGGGGACAATCGGAATCAAACGAAATCTAGCAGATATCGCAAACATAATATTCCGCAAAGTCCCACCCAGTGCATTTCACATGAGCCCATAGCCCACATGAAGTGCATCTGAACCACTTTAATTGTTTTTTTTTTTAAATCGTTGCACATTAGACATCAGTTTTCCAAATATTCATCCTCATCGCCCTAGCATAAGTCATCAGTGCCAATATTGGATTCATAAGTTTTGTTACTTTCCTGCAGTATCGTTTCTGCAAGAAGGCTATTGAAAAATAAGTCACATTGCTTTTTATAGGCCATTTAGAGCGGACTAAAGACAAAAACGTCCATTGGGAGTCGCATGACTCCCATTGCCCACAATTGCACTATTGTGAAAAAAAAAAAAAAATATTTCTTCAAAACATTAATGTAATCTGAACTGCACATCACGATTTTGAATGTTTAACTAAGACTATATAAAAGTTTCATTCGAATATTGCAAGATATTCGACACTTATCTTCTAATTTGCGTGGACGTAAAATTAGATCAGCGGAGCTCAAAAATAAAATATTGGCGTATCTCAATGATACACGCACCGATTTGCATGATTTTTTGGGGGAGGCACTGGGGGGCCAGAACGGAGGTAGGAACGCCGTTTACGCGGTACTCGTAACTATTGTTTCGTGGATATATGGGTGACTCCCATTACCCGCTGACTCCCATTACCCTACTCTCCCCTACTACGTTCCTACATCGCCAAAACAATTATAATGTCCATTTTCTAGATTTATCCTTGGACATTAATACACAAAGCTAATATATGTACTACTAATATGCAAAGTGAAACAAAAAACAAAACTATAATATAAAAAGAAATGCAAGGTTCTAGATGAAAAATTACTACATATCTGTATTTTGCAAAAGGAAGTGATGTACCTACTCACTAACTAATATACAGCGTGTTATAAAAAGAAAATATCTACATTAAAAAACACACAAGTTTCAAGAAGAAAAATACTAAATATCTAACTTTTTAAAGTAAAATCCAGAACTAATATACAGAGTACTAGAACATAAAAACAATACTATCTAACAAGAAAATACGAAGAAAACTAGAAATTGTATTTACTGAAAGAGTCATATCAAAGAAACATAATTATACAAAGGGTGATAAAAACCCAAAAAATCACACTTCTCGCAATGCATCCTGAAAGTCAAAAAAAAAATGATAGGAGAGGCTATTCAAAGATGCCATGCGGTGATGAAGATGAAAAATCGGCAAGGGTAAAATAAAAAAAAACAAGAAAAAAATCAAGAATAAGTTATAGAAGGATTATACAAAACTAGGGAATTTTTACTACAAGATGTAGTTAATTGAAAATAGAAACAACAAATACCAAAAAAAAACGCAAAATATTGCAAAAATTTGGAGGTAATTTTAGGGGTGTTTTAGAAGGTTTAGAGAGTTGAAGTAAACATTGTTTTATTGTTATATGTGCTGCATATAGGTAAATATATAAATAGTGAATTTTATTCAGCGTGGGGAAAATTATTTAATTTCTTAGTTCAATTAATGAAAAGCAATTAATTTCCTTTCATAAAACATTTTCGCCCATAAAAAAATAAATTAATTTGATTTGGCTGCAAGTCTTTTTGATTCTGATCCCTTTCAAAGCATAATCAAATAACACGAAAAAAGGGCGAATCGTAAACATGAAACACGAAAATACAAGTAATGCAATTACAAGCGCCCTACCCATCGTAAAATGTCCATTCGCATGTCGATAATTAACGCAGTACATCAATTACAGCTTATTACTGCGCGTTTGATATTTGATATTAATTTGCTGTTTGTTATACCAATGCACGCTGCTAACACGATACGACGTGAAGCGAGAGAAGCAAATTTCCCGGTTTGCATAATCGCAGCTGAAAATTATAACGAAATTGTCGCGGCATGCGGCTAATTAGGCATGCATTGAACGTGGGCAATCATCGCAATCATGGCAATGATGGCACATCGATGCTCGGCAAAACACGCTCCATGTATTCCAGAGCAGGCTGCTAATTAAAGAAGTCATTACGCTAAAATCACCTCGAATACAACACTCACACAGAGACAACGATATGCGACAATAACACGCGCTCGATTCGGTGCCTCTGCAAAGTTTAACTGCAAACTGCAATAGCGACTGCAGCCGGCAGCCTGTGGGTTGATGGCGCAATGTCGTTAAGCGATCCTGGAACACGAAGGACTCACCAAACTGCGGCGGCAGTTTCGACCGCTGAATTGCCTCGGGCGTTCGTCGCGAACTGGAGCGCCTGTAGTCGTCGAAGTCTGTCCACATCAACATAACCAGTCGCATGCATAGTCATCAAGGCCACGACACTGAGGGTGCAATTCCATTGGGACTGAATCTGAAATTACCGATAACGATTACAAGTTTTGTTCAACCAAAAATAGACCACGCAAATTTTCGGTGACTGCTGAGTTAATTTTAGTACAAAAACATTGTGCAAATTCAGTCAAAGATAAGCACGCCAATAAAAAAATCGTAAAAAGAGTTTCTGTGTTTCAGTATTTCAGTTTAAGCTTGCTTCTCTGTTTCCATCGCTGCCCGCATGGCGCCTCAATAAATTAGCAACTTTGCACGGAATTAATACATCAGACCAACTCGCTTTTTTCCCCGTTTTAATCCAGCAAACTACACATTTTACGCCTTCATAACCTACGACCTACGCCATTTCTCTCGAGTGCTTTACAACTTCCACTTAGTCGAAATTATTTACAATCTACAATCCGCATTTTTTATTTTAATTTCTGTGTTTATACTGCAGATAAAACGCGTTTTGTTGCGCGTATTTGCAGTGTTGTGAGTCCAACCTGCTGGAAGTTGTACAAACAATTTGCTTGGATTTGAATTAATTGCGGCGCGTACTTCATTAACATACCTAGCAAGTCGTAGACGTAGGCGTAGGCGGGTGAATAAGGTCGGCGTGCGATTCCTGCGCGCCGCCTCCGACAGCCTCGATTAAATTGTCGTGCACCGCCGCCACGCGAGCGCGAGTTATGAGCTGCTTGTGATAAATAATTGCGTAGAGTGTTACGCACGCCTGGAACTGAACCTAGGATAAGGAATTCGGTATAAACCAACATTACAATTATTATATTGCTTGAATGCACTGACAACCCAAATGCGAGATGAGAATAATTCTGGATAAATTGCATTTTAGTCGAATGTAATTTGTTATTTCTGCTGTGTTGCATATTGCAAAAGAAACAACCATAAATAACGTATATATTGTTTTAGAATGCATAGAAAATATTCGTTCATTGTATCACCCGGTGTGCAGTTTTCATCATTTTCAACTTTGTAAAGTTATTACATGAAAATTGATAATAAATGTGTTTCAGCCCGTCGACGACATCGTGATTCCATACAACAACAAATTTCCAATTTTACTCCGCCCTCGTTTGTTTGCCTTTTATGTGTGCTGAATTGTTTTGCTCGATGTTTGCGCGACTTCTGATAGCTTCATCGCGTACTAATACAACAAATCATATAAAAACAGCGCGACGGATCGAAGTAAAGATAGACTCCGGCAATGGCAAGACGGTAGCGCTAAACTTTATTTTCCACACTTTATTATCAAATGCTATATCAAAATTCAATATTTGCTTCGGCGAGTGCTGTGTGCGAGTAAAGGATGAGCGCAAAGGAAGGAATAAACAAACGGATGCATGCCTATATATACGTAATCGGCGATTTCTATTCTATGGCTGTATTAAAAGCGGGTTAAAAGCCCTCGTCCGTCGGCCCCGATTTCGTCGCTTATCGCCGGTTATTATTCCGACGGTTCACGCGTTCGCACGCCCGCCAACAACCACCACCACCAGCAAACTTTGACTTTCAAGTTTCATTCTTCTACATGTGTATGCTGTATGAAAGGGAACAACCGAGCAAGAAGAGAAGCCTGCGAGGAAAATAGAAGACAAAGTCGCCTGGTCGGACGTCTTGAAATAAATTAATAACGCGTGCAGCGCCCTCGGCGCATATAAATTTTATAGCGCGCTTTTTATATATAAAAACGACGACGTCGAGGCGAATGACAGAAGCGGAATGATAGTTTTGGATTTTTCTGCTTGACGAGCTCTCTGCGTTTTATGCAACCGACGGAAGAAAATTCTCCGCCAGCGAGACAATTGTACAATAAGTATGGAAATGAGGAGAAAATCATCCAGATGGCAATCTCGAATGCAAATTGACCGACAGTCAAACAAAACGGCACTGGTACGTCGCCGCGCACACAGCTCAATAACACAAACAACAAACAAGCGGGGTGAAATAGTTTTGAATATATTGACGTCCCTCGCATGTTTTCAAATGGTCGTCAAGTTGTCGAGCAAAGACATCCACATAAATAATGTGATTATCACTTCTCTAACGCAGCGTGGGTGGCGGCGTGACTCGTTGGTGTATGTGGATGTCTGTCTGGAGTGTTCACGGCGTGTGTGCCAATATAGATTTTTGTCGCAGCTTCCGCTTTGGTTTGCACTTCGCACCTTCGCACTTCGCTGATGATGAGCACGAGACACGGCGGCTGGGTGGCTTGTGTAAATATTGCACACGCAGCTGAAACGAGCCGAGCATACGCCATGACAAAACGGAATCCAAGCGCTCCCGAACCTTTGACTCTGCTACAGTCCGGAGTGGGTAGACGAGGAAGGTGCGAGAACAGGAGAGACAGCAAAGAGAATAAATCACTTTGATTTGTTTAGGGTAGCACGAAACATTAATTCACAATATTTAATCAGAGGTGAAACGATGAGTCGCAATGTTTTAGTAATCTGCATGTTTGTCAACTTAAGCACAAATTGTGTAGGAAAAGCCCCATATGTGCAATTTTACACACTTAAAAAAGGTCGTAGGGCATTTAACACCTGATTACAGAAGGTGCAACATAGGTATCCTTTCGGGATAGGCTTCGAAATGTTCATCACAAACTCGTCAGACCAACACGAATGAAATTACTAGTGTAACACTTTGCTAAAGGGTTTGTTGATCAGCTTGCTCAATACAGCGTGGAAAATTTGATGCGTTGTGAAAATCGCAAGCGGTCATCCGGACGAGCAGACGGTCCGGCCGCAATGTCCTCAACCCATATATGAACCAAAGGGCGGCAGGTTCCGACCCCCCTACCGATAACCAAACCGCCGGCACGCCAGCGCGGCGCCGGCGTTACATCATCGGCGACGGCGGCGACCGCACCACGCGTCCCCCGCGCTGATCGACATCCGCATCCGCATCCTGCAGCAGCAGCAGCAGCAAGGACACTACAATAGCCGAGTGCTGGTTTGCGGTAACACGAGCAATGTCGGCATTGCGCAACGCTAAAAACAAGCAGCGCGCAAAAAACCAAGCGACGAATATAGGACCTGTGGTCGCTGTTGATGTAAACTTCGAGGTAATGAGAGCAGAAAGGAGGGTTGCTAATAGGCACGCTAAACAGTTGCAACAGCTGAGTGAAAAAAAACAAGAGCGTAACAAAAAAGTACGCGCACAAAAACACAAAATAAAAACACACCCCATGTGATTATGTTCAGTAATGAGGGTGTACACCTCCAGCCAGCATCCGCAACATCCGCATCATACACAATTTCTAGTTTACCAGCCAGTGCACCATGTGCACCACCCGCGGTTAATTAAAAAAAATAGAGAAAGCAATAAATTAGCCAAAAAATTAAAAAAATAAATAGTTTTAAACTACTTGCTAGGAAAATTACTCTACTCCTAGGTAGAGAAGAAGGTAAATTTAAGAGGATTTAAGTCTGCGATAGGCCAACGACCTAATATCTTTCCCTGTGCGTCAGAGTTTTAAACTTTTAATTAAAGCGCACCCGCCACACTGATTACAGACACCCAAACAGGCTTTGCTACTTTGCTACTTACCTTCCAGTCTCCAGACTAAATAAAAGTCTAAGCCACTATCATAGCCACACGTCGCATCCTCGCAACTCTTGCTCGAGCTCGCAATTCGCGCAGCATTGCACAGCAACTAAGTGGCCGGATAGACAGCTAAATAAATAGGACATAGGACAAATTTCGAAATTGTGCGCGCGGCGCACTCTGTAATTGTCTAATTCATACATCAAAAGACACTTACAATGCGACGTAAATTACACATTCAGCCTGAGCGCCGGTTTAATCCCATTTCGTGCATCGCATCTAGTTACAACCATCTTTTCCACGTATATACCCCATCAGACGATTGAGGATGTGCACACACGACTATATTACTCAATGCTGACACACTTCCCATCCATTGAGACAGAATGCAAGCGCGGGGTTGGCAAGGATGTTGCATGTGATCGAAGGAAGGTGGCGCATTCATGCGAGTGTCATGAATTTGAATGCGCTAGGGTTGGAGTTTGAGTGTTATAAGTGTTAAAGCGTGCACGCTATCTGCACCCACTGACGAGTTTAATTACTCCTGGCGACTGCCCACTAATAAAGCGGCGCGTGCGAATCGAAACGAGAGCATCGCTTTTTCCTCGCTTCTTTTTTATTTCACTTTTCAGTGATTCTGATGTTTACTTAGTGTTTCTTCGCGTGATAACACTTCGGGTCAGCGAGCACATCATCACACTCGGCGTGCTTTTAATCTTCGAAGAAAGGTTTCACCCAGTTTACGTTCTAAAAGCGCGATACAAACAAAAATAAAAATAAAAACACTATAAAAAATGAAACCCTCACGAGTTGTGCGTTCCTGCTGAGTTTTCAACTAATACAAACGACATTTTACACCTTCACGTGGTAGAAATGTTAGATTTTAAACTTAACTAACATTTAAGACCTGTTGATTAAAGTATTTCTTGGTTCGTGCAGTTCGGCCAAAGATATTAACGTAGCGCATAAACATTTATCGTTTCGCTCGTAAAACCCAATGGCACACGCGGGGCATACATAAAAAACGACCCTTATGTATTTTAATTACACAATTTTTCATCCACTTCAATTCCGAGCGCCCGGAATGATATTTGTTCACAATTTACATTTTATTACGCTTCGGCTTCGAATTTCATTAGAAACATACGCCATATGTGATGTTATACGCCATATACGCGATATGCTATATGCCCGCTGACTTTTATTAATGCGCATCGCATTATAAATAAATTTAAATGCGTATGCGCGTAATCAACAAAACGCGGTGTTCGGAATATGAAAACGCTAAATACCTACATGTTGTACATGCCGCAAGCGTCGTTGTACTCGCAATCGTAATCAGACGGGTATGAGTACGAGTGCGACTACATTGTGCAGCAATTATCTACGGCGCGTTTTGTGTAAACGGCTTTTAATTGGTTTATTAGGCGCAACGGCACACGCCGCCTGCATGCGACTTTAATTTACCAA